CTCTCCCCCTCACATTGCTTTTTAGTGGTTTACTTCTCAGATGGGGCATGAAGCAACCCAGTAGGAGACAAAGCTGAATCAAACATGTCCTTGGGGCAAGGGACACAGCAAGACAAGAATGGAGGCTGGATCCTGCCTGTTCCTACTATTCCCCATCATGGGAGGGAGAGTAGCCCCTCAACACTACAATCTTGACTTGGTGTGGCTTCAGGTGGAAGGGTCTTTTCTCCTGTTTTATTTGCATCCAGACTTCACAAGGACTGACAGGCAAGAAGGAGCATTCCAAACACAGAAAAGCTGCCCCTCCCCTTATCTCCTGCCTTGTCTGGTTGTAGTGGAACCAGCAGAACCGAGGCTGGGTTGGCCTGGTACTATCATGCCAGACCAATACAGGAGGCTGTTATATAAACATAAGGAAACCAGAAGGTCACCCCCCCACCCCCATAATCCGATGGGGTCTCAGAACTGCTCAATCACCTGTGTGTTAGCCTATAGGAAGTTAGGCAGATCTCTGCCCCAACTCTCTAGGGAAGCCATTAAGCCCAGTGAGCTCAGGCATTAGTCCAGCTACAAGCTCAGCATGTACTTCCAGTTTCAAGGGAAGAGGGCAGGTGTCTTAGGCATAGACCTAGTGTGGTACCTCCAGCAGTAAAAGAGGGACAACAAAATACCCAACTGACACCAGAAAGCCAAGGAGGAAAGGGTACTAAAATCTAGAAAGGAAAGGATTGTCTTCATTTTTTCTTTTCTTTTTAATTAAATAATTTTGAATTCTATTATTGTTCAAGTACACTTTTCTGCCATTTTTTAAAAAGATTTTATTTATTTATCTTTAGAGGGGAAGGGAAGGAGAGAGGGAGAGAAACATCAATGTATGGTTGCCTTTCATGCTCCCCTCTCTCAACCCGTATGTGCCCTGACTGGGATCGAACTGCGATTGTGTGGTTCGCAGGCCCGCGCTCAATCCACTGAGCTACACCAGCCAGGGCCTGCCATTTTGTTTTAATATGAAGACATTTGAAGGCAAATTGGTAGAGACAGAAAAGTAGATTGTTAAACTGGTGGTGGTCAGCAGGTTAACTGTAAAGAGGCATAAGGGATCTTTCGGGGGTGATAGAAATGGTCCACAATTGAACAGTGGAGGCAGATGCATGACTTGGTAAATTTACTAAAAATCATTGAAGTGCAGGTCTCAAACAAGTAAATCTTATAATAATCTCAATAAAGTTTTTAAAAATTAAACTGCTGAGGATGCCACCTCCTTCAAGGGGAGGTGTTATGCCAGCCTCATGCTCCCAGGAGAACATAGCCAACTCTTCAGTGTGGCCTAAGGCTCTTCCAATCTTTACCTTGCACCTGTTCTCATGCACCTGTCTCTTTGCCTTTCAGGACATGGATTCAATTCTTTTCCGGGCCTCTTCCCCCACCACGTCTCCCACCCCACTCCCCCAGCAAACCCAAGCTGCTTCCAGTTCCCTGAGCACAGCAGGCTCTCCCAGACTCTCCCCCTTTGCTATATCCTGTGCGTGGAAGGCCCATGCCTCCTGCCTACCTGACTTGTCCTTCAGGAAATAGTGGAGAGGTTGCTTGCTCTGTAGGGTGATCAGTTCAAGCCCAGATCTCATGCTTGGACATCACCCAAGTCCTCTCTTCTGAGACTCATCTCCCCTTGGGCATGTCTCACTAATTGCTGTTAACCCTGGGGTCCTGGCCTCAGAGGTACTACATACTCTCCCTTCTCCTCCCTCCCTTCAGCCCCAAATGCAACCTTATGGTCAAGACCAGACTGGAACTATTAAAGTTCAGGATCACTGCTCAGGGAGTATCTGGGTTCTGAAAGACAAGCAAGTCGCCAACAAGGAGGGAGGTATGTGAGACATGAGGGTAGTAGGCACTGCAGTCTAGCAGATCATTTCAAGAACCATGGATAGTGGCCCAGAATGGAGCATGAGAAACTAAGATTGGAGAGGCGAGTTCATACCAAAGAGAGAGATTTGAGCTTCATCCCAAAAGTACCAAGTGGTCTTTATAGGCTTACAAGTAACAATGGCATGGTCAGATCATCTCTCTGGCCACTCTCTTCCTCTGCACGCCAACTTGACCCCAGGGCATACTTTGATACCTGAACACAGACCTCACAATAGCTCCCAAGTGGACCAGTTATGATGCAAGAAGGGGTAGTAACTGCCCCTTGATTTCCCATGAAATAGGATTAACTCAGGCATTGACACCTCCCATTCTATACTATTGCCAGAGTATGATCAGAGAGTGGGAGAATGGCTGTCAGAAGACTGGAAAACAGAGACCTGAAGATCCAGAGGCCCAAGAAAGGAAGACTGCAGAGGGGAAGCCAAGCAAGAATGGTGTACCAGCCAGAACACTGAACACAGGTGATTCTTTTCAGGGTAAAGACTCCCTGTGTGGCCAAGGGGATCGATGTTCCACTTCACTTTTGGGGTGAGTGTAGCTGTGTTTCCTGTTCATTCCTCCCCATCTATCTCAGACCAAGGCCAAGGGGAAGAGCCTAGCCTGAGCCTGCAGAAACCTGGGTCACTGTGGCCCTGGCCTGAGTAATGGAGAATTACTCTTTGTAAGGGGTCCCATTCCCAAAGGGGGGCCTAGGAAGACCCTCTCCAGAGTTCTCATGCACCTGTCTCTTTGCCTTTCAGGACATGGATTCAATTCTGCCAATCAGACCCACGCATGGCCCTAGGGAAATACTCCCCTTTGGAGAAAGAGATCCTAGTAAGTGTCCTGACATTTATACACAGCAAGGCCCTACTGAAGGCAGGCTGTTACCCTAGCACAGGGGTGTCCAACCTTTTGGTGTCTCTGGGCCCCAATCTCAGGCCACACACTAAATACATTAGGACACGTAATCTCTCTCTCTCTCTCTCTCTCTCACACACACACACACACACACACACACACACATCTCATAATGTTTTAAGTAAATTTCAATTTTATAAACTTACAGTGGGCCTTGGGTTGGACACCCGTGCTCTAAGGGGAGCCAGAGGTTCCCAAACAACCAGCAGTAGAGATGTATGACTCCAAAACAGGACTCAAGTTGGATGAGTCTGCTAGTGGTTTTTACCTTTGCACAGTGTAAAATACTCTCCTTTCAAAGTCCCAATTAAAAATACGACTGTAAGTGATAACAAATGGCAGAGGCATCATTGTTTGAGCCCTTACCTTGCATTAATTGCTCTGGTAGATGATGTCTTCCAGGGATGAAAAGAGGTTCTGTGGGTCAGTGAAGTTCTTTCAAATTCATAGTAGGCAAGGAGAGTCGGGAGTAGACCCCAGACTTGCCTGACCCCAAAGACCCACCCTCTCGCCCAACTACACAGGGGCTCAGACCCACTCAGCAATGAGAGGAGAAGGTGCCACTAGCTAAATCTTCCTGTGGACACCCCTGCTCCTGTCTTGAGGACACAATAACAACCCCTGTCTCGTTGTCAGCGTCTAGGTGGCGTTCACACTATAGCATCAAGAAAGTTTCTGACTTATAAGCAAGAGGAGGAACGGAGAATGCTCAAGAAACTCCAGTTGCTGTCTTCAGACTACAAACAGGTGGCAGAATATAAAAAACGACAATCCTCAACTTGCTCCACTTGCTGGCCTAAAGAAGCAATATGGAAGGCCGGGGTGGTCATGCCCCCAGAAGAGTTGAAAATGCCGCGACGAGAGCGGCATGAGGTCAGCAAGCACAAGGAGCGCATGCAGTTCGCTCGAGCCCTGAGAAGTAACCCGCAGCTACCCTCCATTTTAAGGGCCAGGAACTCTTCAGTTCTGTCCACAGGGGACCTGGGCCCAACAACCAGAGACAACACCTGGCAAGACGAGGGTGAGGATGATGATGACAGTGACTACGATGATGACACACAAGAGGAGAGAGAGAAAAAAACCACAAAGAGACAAGAAATAAAAATGAGTGTAATTTTCAAGGCAGAAAAAAACAAAAAATGTTTCACATACCAGCCCAGAGACCTGAAACCATTCTTTCCCACAAAGAAAGTGGAACGGTCCATCACCGGCTTAACGAACCGCAATCTTTTTTCCTTGGCTGAATTCCCAGGAGACCTACTGCTGATGAACCAGGACTGTATCTCACGAGGCATCCACCCCAGTGAGATGACAAAGGCCAGCTGCCTGGAAGGAGAGAGTGTCTGGAGAGAGTACACGGGAAAACCAGCATCTCACCATTATTAAAGGTTTATTGATTGCCCACAGCGAACTGAATGTCGCAGTCCTCGTTTTTCTTGCCACTCTGCCTGCCTGGGTGCCTTTCCTCCTTGTCTTCTTTTGGGACGTGAATGCCGGGCGTCCTTAAGGTATGACCTACCTGCTAAGTCTTCCTGATTTCAGGCAGCTCCTAGCTCTTGGCTCCCACCTCCCTTCCGGGATGCAGGCTCCTCCTCTTTATCTTCTCCCATGGGGCCCCAGATTTAGTGGTTTAAAAAAAACAGTCACTAATTTAGCTTGTAATTCTGTGGGTCAGCAATTTAGGCTGGGCTCAGCTGGAAGGTTCTCCTGGTCTCAGCTGGGGTTCTCATGTGTCAGGTGTCTGCAGTCAACTGACTTCAGGTAGGTGGGCTCTGGGGGTTGACAACCATTAGCTTGGTCCATGGCAGTGACTGGGCCAGGTTTCCTCCCTCCAGCAGGGTAGCCCAAGGGTGTTCACAGGGCCATTGCAGGACCCAAGAGAATAAGTGGAACTTTACAAGTTCTTTTGAAGCCCAGACTCGGAACTGGCACACCACCATGGTGTCCCATTCTGATGACCAAAACAAAAGCATTCTCTGCTTTGGGTAGAACCAAAACATGCCATGGACAGAGGAAGACAATTTACCCATTCTCAAGAAGCCTCTAGAAACCAAAGGGCAGCGGCTGCTGACCATGATCATTTCTTTGGACAGCCCACCCAACTTAGCTTCATTTGAAGGTATCTAGTGCTTAGGTGTGCCACTACAAACAATGAGCAAACTGATCCTTGCTTGAAATAAATTCTTTATTCGGCTTCTCCTATAAATCAAGAGGTTAAGATGTATACTACAGGCCTAAGAAGTGAGTTTATAAAAAAAGGTCTGAGAATAATTCTGTAGAGGAAGCTCTGCACCTGTGAGCCATTGGCACACAGTCACATGCAGGGTTTTAGATACAGCAGCTGCTGGCCTGACCTTCTGACCCAGCACTGAGCCTGGTTTTAGGAAAAGCTGCCCCTGACTTTCCCTACCCCCATCTCAACCCCCATCCACCATAAGCCTGGGCTGGAGTGAACAGAGTCAGGGTGCTGCTGGGTGCCATGCTCAGGGCACAGGTTTCTAGCTTGTCTGCTTGGGTTCTTGGGGCCCAGTTCTGAGCGTTGTCCTGAGCCTTCATTCCTCTGATAGCATGTCGCAGAGCCACCATTTGTCTGGGCAAGATTATCCAGGCCTCCAGCTACTGTGGTGCCTCTGGAAGAGGAGGGAGAGGAGAGGAGTGAGCAGGTCCTTGTCATCCCACCACACCCATCTCCCTGCCCTGCCGCCCTCCCCACAGCCCCGACTCCCACTGGAGGTGCCCTGCACTGTCTTCTCCCTCTGGAATGTTAAGCTATTTAGAGGTGAGGCTTTTTACTTGTCTCTGTTTTTAGTTATTTTTCTCCTGGCACATAGTAGGCCTTCAAAAAATATGCATGGAATGAATGACTAAGTAAGGAACGGGACTACAATCCAACCAATGTGGGACATCCTGAATACGGGCCATGAGGAGAGAGAGCTGTCAGAGATGCTCCAGGGGGTGCAGCCAAGTCACCCAGGGGATGGGTTGGGAAAACTACTGCAACCCCAACTCTGCCCCTGTCCCCAGGGCCACCACCTCTGATGACCTGGCCCTGGCCTGCACCTGACACCCTGGGACTCACTCTGATGACACTTGTGCATCCACACACAGCAGAACAGCATATGTGGTATCCACTTCAGGTGAGGAAAATGAAATGGCTTGGCCAGTGTCAGGCCCTGGGAGCTGTCAGAACAAATCCATCCTGCCTGCACCCTGTGGCCTGCCCACACCCTGACTTCCTGTCCCTGGGACCACAGGTTGTGCCTGTCACCGTCATGAGTAATCATGTTCTCATGTTACGGTTGTTAATATTGGTGACAATAACAATTGTGACCAAAGGCACCATTCATAATGCTCAGTGGCTGGACCAGGCAGAGGCCACGGCAGTTTAACTAACATTATTTTTGGCAACTCTCTCGTCTGTACCAAGAGGTAAGTATGAACAGTTCAGTCTTACAGATAAGGAGTTCAGAACCCAGAGGTTAGAGAGGTCAGGTGGGTTTGCATCCCAGGTCAGATCTCTCTTGACCAAATCCCATGTATTGGTCCCTCTTAGACCAGCAGCCCTTGGGAGAAGGGGGGAGGCAGGTGCACTGGAACTCTGTCTCACTGGGCATAGCACAGCGTGCCGCTCACAGTAGATGCCCGGTTCTAGGTGGAACACGACTGTAACACCCTGAGTCCCTGTGGGTCACGGGCCTAGGCCCCCGTGGGCACTGGGTTGGGAGGGTGGTCACCTACCCAGGCCCCTCTTCTCGGTGTGCAGAGGTCGAAGCTGGATGGGTCCCAGGACGACGTCCACCTGCTCCTGGTAGGAGCTCACGTCCCTCTTTGACCTGACCACGCAGCCTCTGTGGCAGCGGGAGGAGTAGTCGTGAGCCCTGCACACCACCATCTTACACCGCAGGTACACAGAGGGGAAGCGGTTCAGGAAGTGGAAGGAGCTGAATTTGAAGCGGACTATGTGGGGCGAGGGCTGAGGGTAGGACGCGTAGGTCTCGTCCTTCACACACCTGGAAGAAGACGGGAGGAACTTTACACGCTCACCAGGGCTCTCGTCCCTTCTGACCTGGACACACTGGGTGTAGAACTCAGCAGCCTGACCTCAGGGCCACCTCCTGCGGCACCTCATTGGCTCCTTCAGATCATGTGTTTCCCACATTGACTGTCAGCCGTGCAGGGAAATCCTGGAGTTCATGCACATCAGCAGCATCTTAAAGCAGCGAGCCAGTCCGAGTGTCCACACTGACAAGCTGGCCCCATATTGTGACCATGTGTTCAATGGCCCCAGGTTACCCAGGTGAGTCAGGAAGTGACAAGACCCAGAGAGAAGACAGGAAGGAAGGTCACACCTGGCTACCCTTGGGTGTCTTTGGTGTCTTCCCCTCTCCAGGGCTGTGTCTCGTGACCCACCTCAGCATGGTCTGGGGACCCTGCAGGTGTCTGAAGCTCAAAGATATTCAAATGGACATCCAGGTGGGTGATTTGGTTGGTGTCTAGGTGTAGCCCATGAGTCCCCGAGCTCCAGGTACAGTAGGGACACATGTATCCCCATATGCACATCCTCCCTCCCCATAACATTACCTTTTATATATATACATATATAATTATATATATAATTTGACCAAAAAGTTGCCTTTAATGAAGAAGAGCCAGATCACTTGCTGCCTGGCATTAATCCCACTCATTGGAAATAACTTCAAATGTCACCTTGTGACTACTTGTAAAAAGAGGATCTGGGGAAACTTCTTCCCCATCTCAGCTGCCAAGGAGGCTGTTGTGAATTGAACTCTGCATAGTAGCTCGACAAACCTCAACCCCCATGTACTAAATCCACGCTTAATAAAAACTGTGCTCAGAAAGAGATGCTGTTTTCAGTCTCAAGGAGAAGTGAAATTTAGCCTCCTAGCCCTGAGTCCTAGCAGATCGCCTTCACTTGTCAGTACAACTTATGTATGGGGCAGTGGTTACTGAGGTGCCAAGGTCAAATTATAAGCAAAGAAATGACGTAAACACCACTGGACAGATGAAGGAATAGTCATTTCGGCTGCACACCCCAGTGTCCCTGGACCCCTCTGTGAGCTCTGAAGAGTCCTGTACCCAGGAAGACAAGACTCTGTGAGACAGCCCGGCCCAGGCACCATGGACCCAGGCCTGGACAGTGCTGGCTTTGCCTCTGCATCTTTGAGCTTAGTGGGAACCCTGGACTCTGAGCACCTCCATGCTCAACTGATGGAGGTCCACATTCTGGGCCTTCAGTGCGACATTCACTGTGGACCACCTGCTATGAGTATTCTTTGCCCAAATGCCCACCTGCTCTTTCTCCTCTAGTGCCCCCAGAAGCCTATGATGTGCACACCACCATGCTCATTTGATGGGCAAAGAAACTGGCTCAGAGAGGTGCACCTGCCCACCCAGAGTTCTACAAATGGTCACGTGGCACAGCTGGCATCTCAGTCTCCATCTGCTTCAAAATGAAAACTTCCTCACTACACCCACATCCTGTTAATACTAAGGCTTGCCTGGGCTCCAGTGCCCTGGGGCCAAAAGCCAATTTATAGCCCACCTACTTGGTGCCCACTGGTGAGTCCCTCAATTCATCAGACACCCATATCTCTGTATGTTATCCAGGCCTGACAACCTGACTGGTTGAGCTTGAGCTCTTAGGACCAAATTCTGCATTCAGAAGACTTTGGGCTACTCGTGTTTGGGTGATCAGTGAACTGTTCAAGTCCCCCCGGTGAAGACATTCCTTACCCACTCCTGATTAGATAGTAAGTCAGAGATGTAAAGTCATTGGAATATGGAGATGCCACACAGGTGTCCACAAACAAGGCCAAAAAGGAGTTGGCATGAAGAATTTCAGCCTGAAGGTACAAGTTCTGGTTGAAGTCCACATAGTACTGCCTGCTGGTCACACGATGCAAGAATGAAGAGGATGTATAAAAGGACATGTCCACGTCATAATGGCCATACTGCACTTCCTGGATGTCGATGCTGCTATTAACAATGTACATCGTGTCCACCCAAGTATTCTGGAGGATCTTGCAGCTGACGTGAATGTGGATGTCCTTGGTCCTCTTGATGATGTTGCTTGAAGCAGCTGCTCTGAGCATGTTGGAATAGGTGATGGTGTCATTACTGACCTGGGAGAGGCAGACAGGAGAGCAGAGTCAGGCCCCGTGTCTCCTGCTGAGAGACTCTCACTGCTGGTTTTGTTTACAATGAGAGGCAAGCGACTCAACAAAGCTTCAAGAACCCTCCCAGAACCAGAGATGCCACATGCCTACTGCCAGGGCCACCATTACCTGGGATGGGCATGCTGCTTAAGTAGCAAGAGCCTCCTTTCACAATCCCCTCTTCTCTACCATTTGACAGGGGACCACCATGGGGACCAGGTGTTGGGGGCCTCCTGGGGACTGCTCCTCCTGGGAGCTGGGTGTGTCTGGGTGATCTTTTGCCCTGTGGTATGACTAAGCTGTGTGTGGACTCCAGGGCTCAGGACCTTCCTGTCTTGTTTGTTTCATTCTCCCTGTTGCTGGGAGAAAGCAGGGGAGGCAGATGTGTACTCTTGAGAGGGGCTGTTGGCATTAGTTTCCACTGTGCTGTTTGAATGGGTCAGTAGCTTTGCAGTGTGGCATCTGAAGCAGCCAGGGCTGAAAATGATAGACTGGAGTTATTGTTGTAGCAGGTCTCTGGCTGCTGGGGCAAGGAGTCTTCCCCAAAGCTCAGATGAACAGTTGGTTGGGCGTGGCAAGGCAGAGCATTTCCTGTCATACTCTGTTTTTTCACTTCCTGCACCACAGAATTATTTCCGACTTTCATCAAGCAGCAAATTCCTAAGAACATCGCACCATTTGATGTGTCTACCATCTAGTGAGAGTGACTTCTCTGGGGATGAGATCCTTGCACCTGGCAGTCTGTGAGCATCTCAAGCAAAGGATGCTTTCTCTTTCCAGGGCTTGGTAGGCTGTCAATCATAGTATCAGTAGCATCAATAAATATCCCTGGAAGGAATGACAGTGACAGGGGATGAAAAACAAGCAAAAGCACTGAGGTGGAGAAGGATGGGGCCAAGAGTAGCTTCTCCAATGGCCCAAATGTCCAAGAGGACACAGGTGAACAAGGCCCCCTGGACATTCCATGGTCATGATCATCTGGCCCTGATTGAGGTGAGCCCAAGAGAAGCACGGCCGGGAGGAGACCAGGGGAAACTCTTCCCTTCCCAAATGCTCCATGGTCAGAAGCCAACCTCTAGCCAGGTATGAGTTCCCACAAGCTGTGGGTGCTTTGGCAAGGAAGAGCCCAATACCGCCATAGTGCCCCAAATGCAAACCCTGGAATGTAAGACAACCTGATACTTCATCAAAGAGGAAACAGTAAGTTATGTTTGCATTCTTTCACTTAATGAGGTGCCAGCCCCTCTCACCCACCCCAACCCCAAACTGTACAAGCTTCCAACTCTGGAAGCTGCTCGTGTAAGTGGTAGTGAGCCGGATCCCCTCAGTGCTGGACAGTGCTGGAAATACTGCCTGCTGACCTCAACCCCCCTCCTTCCTTCTCTTTGGATGTGGCAAGGAACAGATTGTCCACCCTGATAACGTCTGGTTATACAGACATAATCATGTCACCGGGCTCCCCAGGATTTCAGCAACACAGTACACATATCACTGTAAGAAAGCTTTCTCAGTGGGAGGTAGAGTGGGAAGGCCCAGGCTTACCTGCTGGGTGGTGCCGCAGCCTGAGTGGGGAATTGTGAAGGTCACCTGGCTTGATGTTATATGGGGCTGACACTGGTAGACCCTGTTCCAGTTGGGAATGACAAGGTCACTGGCGGAATAGCCCAGGGATTGCAGGTAGCGCCTGCTCACGTTGACTTGCATTTCATTTGATAGACAAAGCAGCTCTGGTGGCCAAGGGCAGATAATGAAGTCAGTCAGCACCCCCAAGTCCCAGCAAGTCCCTGTTGAGTTTCTCCCATATCCCATACCCAGGTGCAGGGAACAAGTTGGCTGACAAAGACAGTCCACATGAGGATGTGCTCCTTCCACCCACCCCCCAAAGGGGCCCTGTGGCTCCAGTGACTCTCATTCTCAGGAGAGCCCTGTGTGAACACAGGCACGGGGGACTCCTCAGGTGAAGAACAGGGAGCAGGATGTGAAAGGAGTGAAATGTTTGGCCAGGGTACCATTATCTAGAAAGTAAAGTAACGCTCCAGCTGTACTGTGGGAATGCTGTGAAATAAGGTCCTTTAGCTATGGAGCAGGTTCAAAGCTTAAAATCCAGGTTGAAAATGAGTGCTTGGCCATCACCTGGCCCAGTCCTTGGCCAGCCTGTAAATAAGTCCATTTAACAGCTTGAATAGTGACCATGAGCCTCTGATGGAAGTGTCTGAGTGACCAGTGGCTTTCAGATAGCAGCCAAATGTGCCAGGTCTCAGGACATGGTCACAGTGTCCCATGCTCTGGAATGGTCACAAGGCCTTAAGCCAGGGCTCACTTCTGCCCTTGACACAAATGTCTTACTATATGGTAAAAGCATCATCTTGCACGTTCTACTCAGTCTCTTCTGACCACATTAGTAACGTCAGCACACAGCGTATTGGTCAGTTCTTGCCCTTGACCTCACTTCTGGGCAGCTGGAATCCCAAGACCCACTGCTCCCATTCCCTTTCAGCACCAGATCAAGCCTCAGTGACCTGCCAGGGTTGCTCCAGGTTCCTGTCCCACCATCCCAGAAAGGTTGAGGAGGAGCGGGCACATCAGAGGGTGCCCCCGCCTTGATGAGCCTGGGGACTTACTGGTGCTGTGGTTGGAGGGACTAGAGGAGTAGTCAGCCTGGAACCCTCTCCTGGTGATGCTGCCGTCGCTGACAAAGCGGATGGACATGAAGTTGGATGAGGAAGTGAAGGAGTCGCTTGCCCCATGACAAAGCCGGGCCAGGAGAGGGGAACTTTGGTAGGGGCCATCGAACACTTCGATGTAATCGTAGTCACAGTTCCCCTCAAGCCTGCAGAGACAGGACACACAGCTTTGGCTTCACCTCCCACCAGGAGTGGGGGCAGAGGTCGGGTCTGGGTGTGGGGCTACCCTCCTGGGTCAGAAACTCTGACAAAATTTAATAACTGAAAATAGCAGATTTTCTGAAAGAAAGCAGAGGTTCCTCTCCCCATGGCCTGCATACATGGATCTTCGTCTTCCTGCCTTTTGGGGTCACACATTTGACACATACAGCCCCTCTCTCAATAGCCTTTTGCATCATGGCAGGAAAAACTCCCATCCTGCCTCGGACTTTCTGCAACAAAAGGAGCCTGGTTTCCCCTGGACTGAGATGGATATCCACAAAGTCATGGTGATAGAAATGAGTTACTGAATGAGCACACGTTGGACGAGTCACATACCCTCCCCGAAGGTTGGTTCTTGCCTACAAGGGGGTCATCCTATCTGTGCAGAGCCCCTGCAGGCTCAGATGGAACAGCTCATGGAAAGTGCTTCACAGAGTAAATGCTGTGGCCGTTGCTGTCCAGATGCTGCCTAAAGATCCAGCCCTGCTCGGCCTCCCTCCATAGGACTTCACGGGCTTTAAATGAAGCCCCCGAAATCCATGTGAATTGTAATGATAGGTGATCACAATCACATATCTTTGGCAAGACCCCACATGAATTTCCAAGGCAGAAACATCCCCCCAAAGCCACTGCAAATGAGAAACCGAGAGAGAAAACAATCTGGCTCAGTGGTGGCTTGGAGGGAAGAAGTTATGGCACCTTCTCTCCAGGACATTGAAAGCATTGGTGCCCCCTGCATGGCCACTCCCCACCCTGCACCAGTCACATGCTAATGTGCTTTGATGATGTCTCCTCTGCCTAACACAATGGTTTTTCCATTTCTGCCTGAGCCCTGGGACCCGCCCCCAATAAAAGAGGGAGTGGAGAGAACAGTTGGTGTGTTTGTTAATAGGGTTCTTTGCATTATTTTTATTGCTCCCAACAGAGTCTTTTCCCTGGATAACACTTTCCAAGTATCTTCATCTATTTATTTCTCTTGGGACGTTCCCCATAACCATGGATCGGAGAGGGGCGGGCAGGCATTTCAGTCCTCTTTCCTGACAGAGGCTGAGGAAAGTTAAGGGAGATCCCACAGTCACACAGTAAGTAGTGGCCAAACTGAGACTTGAAGCCAAGGCCTTTGTCCTGGCCCCACTTTCCTGGGCTATCTTCGTGCTGGGTCACAAATTGAACCCACCGGAAAAAACATCAATGGGAAGCACCTCTGCTGAAGTGCAGGTCCTGTCTGCTTCCTTCTGAAATGTCTGTGAGGACCCCCACATGGCCTGCTCCGCACCCACACACTCACTGCACATCTCTGAAGACAACGGTCACGCAGTCATTGTTCTGGACCTCGATGTCCCACACACACTGGGCATTGTTCGGGTAGTTCCTGGGATAGAACGGGCTGGAGAAGCGTCCTGATGGCTGGGACAGGAAGCCTCCACAGGAATAATTGGCTGTCAGGACAAAACAGAAATGCTGCGGGCCCCGGGAGCACAAAATTGAAGAGACAGAATGCCAACAGGAGGTGGCCCCAACCTGGCCTGTCCACCCCGGGTCAGCGGGATCCCCTTCCTGTGCAGCTACACCTGTGGAAGCCCTCTCCTCATCATTCCCATCATCTCTCCCCAGTGCCACTGTCACTGAGGGGAAGGGAAAGGGGATTTGTCAGGGGCTCAACACTTACTGGTTGGGCTGGTGGCCACGTGGGAAGAAGCTATTGACAAAGAGAAAAGATAATGATGAGTCTCCTGGCATCCTTGACACAGTCATGGAGTGCACGCTTGCTGTGTGACAGAAACGTGCCAACCCTGGGGCCACATGAAGATGCTGGCCATGGGCCACTCTCTCAGGGAGCTCACCATCTGAGGGAGTGGCTGGCAGGGAGTGAATGGAATGAAGTGAATCCTAACACAGTGGGTGATGGGAGCCAAAGCTTTGGCTCCAGACCCAGTGTGAGCAAACGAGTTTGCTTTTCTCGTAATCCTCGGCTTCATACAGAACTCCTGGATCTAGTGAAGGTCCTGCCAATGTGCCCTTTGTGCAGTGATCTTTCCCCTTGAAACGCCTGTCACAACTGTAATTGTATCATTAATTCTGAAATACATATTTAATACTGTGTCCTACCTTAGGGAGGAGATCAGTTTCTGTTTTTCATTATTCTTTTATTCTTTCATTCTCTTTCTCGGTATTTTACAACCATCTTGATAGCCATGTGGCCACATGCACAGTTAAGATGTTAAAATATTAACATCATATGATTTAGCTGAACAGGGCACTTCCCATAGCCAATGTAGCTCCAACACAGCCCAGCTGTCTGCCCACCACATTGGCATCACTGATGTCAATCATCATCACACATGGTCCTCCAGGAGCCTTGGTAGAGAACCTGTACCCAGCTGTGGCACAAGATACTACCATTCACCAGCTTTAGGTCCAAAGTGCCTTTGGTCGAAACCCTAAGGATGGCACAAGAACTCCTCCTCTGTGACTCAGTTGAGCCACCAGGCCTGAGGCAGGTTCCAGAGCCTTGGGACACTCTCATAGTCTAAACACCCAGGGCAAGCAGTCAGCTTTCAACACAAGCAGAGGCTCATGTTCACCAAAGGAAAGAAGTAGAGTCGAAGTATCCTGCCAGATCAAAGCTGCTCCAGTGGAGGGGAGAACCCATGACTGGCCCAAGGGGTGGGCCAGAACATGCTTTTCTGGCGTCACATGGGGCATTCCAAGGCAGAGCTCCATAGATCAGGGGCAGTTCCCCTTGGTCAGCAACCACTGGCTCCACTGTTGTCCCAGGAGACCTGAGACACTGCACTAGGAGGTGACAGGGCATCTTCCTCACAGGAGAGAAACAAGCACCTTCACCCCTTTTCTTGGAACAGCAGCCAGAGTCCTGAGCCTTTGGCCTGGTCTCAATGGGCTAGATGGGCCTTTAGCACTCACACTCAGCTGTGGAAGGGGGTCTCTGATGAGCCTCTGCCCATCTTCTCACTAGAGATGGATAGCTGTCCAAATGTCACATGTAGGATATGGTCTCACAGAATATTCCTTGCAGGTCACACCGCAGAGAGAGGATAAGATGGCCTACATGGAACCTCTTTTCATCATGTTCCATTGCAGCCTTGAATCAGGAGCAGAGGCAGAGCCCAGGGCGGTGGATATGGTGAGAGGAATACATACCTGAGTCTGTACTTGCTGGTGTTGAAGGCGTGAAAGTGCTTGGTCATGTGCCCCCAAGTGACCATAAAGGAAAAGGCCACAGTTAGGGGTCACCAATACTGAGCCTTTAAGACTTTTGTGGGGGCATCAGGACAATTGCCCGTGTGCTTCCTATGGCTTGCTACCTTAATGTGCACAAGCCCACTCTTCTGCTAGGTCTGTGGGATCCAAGGCCCTGTAGGAGATCCCGTCGTTTCCTTTAAATCTCTCAGCCTGCTGGGTTCTCTTCTAAACTAAAACAGCTTTGCCCTCTCCCATTCCTGAGGCATGTGCTCATTGGTAGTTCTGAGATACTCACCTGACTCTAAAGCTTGGATACCAAGAGTCAGGGTCATGGGGATGAAATGTGCAGCCAATCAAATGTCCGCAGGACATACACATATTACTCTACCATCCCCTGGGCACTGTCTATGCCACTTAGTGATACAGATGTGACCATGGTGAGTCTCAGGGTCTGATAGTGTGAGGGTTAGTGAGAATACAGCTGTCTGACATCCTGTCAAGAGGACGACACTGGTTTATGAATGTCCATTATCCCACAAAATGTTTATCAGCCTAGACACAGTCCAGTGACAGTGGAGGTCATCGCCCTGAACACTGGCAGCTATCTTTGGGGCAGCAACCAAGAATTGGAGGGGGACACAAATAGATTAATAACACATGGACTCTTTGAAATCCCACCTACACTTGTGAAGTACTCATGGGCATCTCAGTGATTAAGGATAAAGGATGAGCCTTAATGGGGATTCACAGAGCAGTGATTCACCCAAAGTGAGAAGGAGAAGAATGGGTGTGCATTAAAAGAATCATATCTGAGGAAGGTCACTAGAAACTCACCTGGCCAGATTGTCAGATGGGACTGAGCAGCTGTGAGGAAGAGAAGAAAAACATAAGATGAGGAGCACACAGTTGCCCAACCCAGATCCAAGGTTGATAACCCTGGTCTTATACTCACCTAGCTGACGCCTCACACGTGCCCTCACTGTGGACATTACCGCAGGCTGCCGAAGCTCTCTCTCCTTGCCATCACTGTCCTCACTGTGCCTGAGGACTGACTTTTCTGTTGGTCAAAGCCAGTGTCATGTTTGAGACAGGCCACCGTACCCTTGGCTAACATCCCAGGAATTAGCAGAGGATGACCCTAATGAATGGGTTGCTAATTTTTCTGCCTGGTGGTGTGATGACGGTGGTCCTTCACAGCAGTTTCCACACTTTGCCCATGCATTGCTCCACCATCCATAAGGCCTCGCATGGCTCACCAAAATTCCTTTCACTGGCCACCTGGAATCTCACACCTTACATGCCCCCTGCCACATGATCAGTAGTTCACAGAAGAGCTCTATGATCGTGGGTCTATTCCTCAGCTTCAGGTTCTGGGACAGCAACAAGCACTATAATCATCATGGAATAGTTTCCTACCCACCCCAAACAGGACCATGGCTCTATCTAAGAGGATTGCCTGAGCTGGGAGATGAGCTTTTGGTACCGAGGCCAAACAAAAAGACTCCCTACTCTGCCATCAGGAAGTTGGACTCTCAGCAAAACCACAGTGCCACAGTCCCATCTGACAACCTGTGGGTACTACCTTGAGAACACTGGGGGACTGTATAGACCAAGCTCCTTTTTGAACCAAAGCAGGTGACATAACCCCTTAGGTGCAAGGTACACAGGAATTAGCTCCAGTACCAGGGACGATGCTATGTGGCTCAGGCCCCTGCCTGAGTGGCACAGGAGTGGAAATCTTGTCAGTTATGAGCAATATTCCCTCACAAATGGAGACCCACCATGTGTGAAGCCCACCTGAGCAGATGACGCCAGCATCCTCCCCAGGGTTACAGTCATGGGAGTTCCAGCTCCGGTGTGGGCAGTTCCATAGGTAGGACTCATGTCCTGAGCAGTGCACATCGTCCAAGAGAATGGGCCCTGAGCCCTGACCAAACTGGGCACTTCCCAGAGCCGACATGGCCCCACCACAACCCATCTGCCTGCATACCACACTGGCATCATTGATGTCCCAATAGTCATCACACACGGAACCCCAGGAGCCTTGGTAAAGAACCTCCACACGGCCCTGACACCAGTCACTTCCATTCACCAGCCTCAGGTCCAAAGTTCCTTCTGTCTTGAACCCTAGAGATAGCACAATAACATGTCCTCAGTGACTATACTGAGCCACCAGGCTTGAGGCAGGTTTCGGACATTTGAGACACACTCACAGCCTAACTTCACGGGATAACAGTCAGCTTTTGACATGTGAACAGGTTCATCTTTGTTACAGGACAGAGGCAGAGATGTCCTACCTCACCACATCAAGGTTGCTCCAATGTACGTAGTGAGCACCAATGATGCCCCCAGGGAGGTGAGCCAGACTGCCTCATACCGGTGAGCCAGGCCTCATACTGGGCCTCCCTAGACAGAGCTCCATAGATCCAGGGGCTGTTCCCCTTTGTTGGCAACCACTGACTCCTCTCATGTCCAGGGTGACCTCAAGCACAGCAAGAGGAGAGGATGGTATGTCTATCTAACATGAGAGGCACAGACAAAATCACCCCATCTTTTCAGGACAGCAGTCAGAGGCCAAGCATGGGACCTAGTCTCTAGGGGACTAGCTAGTCCTCCATACTCACACTCAGCTGTTAAAGAAGGTATGTACTGTGCTTCTGCCCAGAATCCCACTAGAAATAAGATGCCATGCGACTATGTCACATGTAGGACCTATATGCACAGACTATTTCTTTGCAAGTCCCACCATAGGGATAGATATATCAATGGCCCATGTGGAACAAATTCCCCTCATGTTCAACCCCAGCCTTGAATCGGGGGGCAGAGGCACAGCCCTGGGGGAGAGGGAGAGGAATACACACCTGAGTCTGTGCTTGATGGTGTTGAAGGCATGGAAGTGCTTGGCCGTGTGCCTACAAGTGACAACAAAGGGAAAGGCCATACTTAGGGGTCACCAATACTGACCCTTCAAGACTTTGGTAGGGGCATCAGGACAATTGCCTGTGTGCATCCTGCAGCTTGCTACCTTAATGTGCACAAGCCCACTCTTCTGCTAGGTCTGTGGGGTCCAAGGCCCTGTAGGAGATCCCATCGTTTCCTTTAAATCTCTCAGCCTGCTGGGTTCTCTTCTAAACTGAAACAGCTTTGCCCTCTCCCATCCCTGAGGCATGTGCTCACTGGCAGTGCCGAGAGGCTGACAAGACTCTAGAGCTTGAATGGAAAGAGTCAGCAACGTGCCTTTATAAGCAGGAGCCAATCAAATGTCGCCTGTTTGGCAAACCATTGTCACATATTACTCATCCCCCACCCCCACAGGCACTGTGCCTGCCCCACAGGGAAAGGGATATCAATGGCTCACTTGGAACCTTTTCCTTCACCTTCCATCCCAGCCTTGAGTCAGGAGCAGAGGCAAAGCCCTGGGGGCAGGGGATGAAAGGAATGTATACCTGAGTCTGTGCTTGCTGCTGTTGACATGGAAGTGCTCAGCCATGTGTCTATAAGTGACAACAAGGGGAAAGGCCACAGTTAGAGATCGTCCATACTGACCTGTTGACAATTGCCCCTGTGCCTCCTCTGCTTGTTACCTTAATCTGCACAAGTCTACTTTTCAGTAAGGTCTGTAGGGTCCAAGGCCCTGTGGGAGATCCTGTTGTTTCCTTTAAATGCCTCAGCCTGCTGAGTACTATTCTAAACTGAAACAGCTTAGCCCTCTACCGTCTCTAAGTCATGTGCTCACTGGCAGTGACAAGAGTAAAACTTGCATAGAAAAAGTCAGGGACATGGGTGTGAAAGCAGGGGCCAATCAAATGTCAGTGTATTTGGAAAACTGTTAGCACGTGTTGCTCCACCATCCCCTGGGCACTGTGTCTTTGACATAGCGATACAGGTGTGACCATCAGAATCTCAGTGTGTTGAAGGTGTGAGGGGAGGAGGGAGGACCAAAGTCTGATGTGTCATCAACAGGGCCCCAGTGGTTATGAATGTGCGTTGTCCTACAAAAAGTGCACCAGCCTGGATATGACAGTGTCCGTGTCATGTCACTGGAGGTCTTCCCGGGGAACCTTGGTGGCCATCTTTAGGGATAGCAATGAAGTATTGGGAGAGAATCAAAGGGATGAATAATACATGGAGTCCTGGCAATGCCACATATACTGCCACACCACTGTAGGGATCTCAGGGACGAGTGGCAGAGAGCCCATGCACATGGGCACGTTCACAGGGCAGGCAGGGGCTTAGCCAGAGTGAGGAGGAGAGGTGTGGAGGTGCAGAAAGAAAAGACATATCTGAGGAAGGTTGCTGGCAACTCACCTGGACGTGATGTCGTATGGGAGTGAGTGGCTGTGAGGAAGAGAAGGAAAATGTTAGCCAAGGGGCACACAGTTGTCTGACCCTGACCCAAGGTTGATGAGCCTTGTCTTATACCCTCTGCGCTGATGCCTGGCACATGCCCTGGCTGTGGAAACTACTGCTGGCTGCCCAAACAACTGTCCTTCCCATCATCTGCTTCACTGTGCCCGAGGACTAACTTTTCTCTTTGCCAAAGACGGTGTCTTGCCTGAGATAGGCCACCGTAGCCTGGGCTGACACCCTGGGAATTAGCAGAGCATGACCCAAATAAATGGGTTGGAGTATATGCCAATTTTTCCTTCTCGAGGTGTGATGACAAGGTGCTCTGCAGCAATTTCTAGAGATTCCCCATGCATTGTTCAACTGTCCTCAAGGCGCTGCCTGGCTCACCAGCATTCCATTCACTTGCCACCATCATGTCGGACCTCACACTGCCCCTGCCCCTCGTTCAGAATTTCACAGAGGAATTCCCTGCCCTTTGCACACCTCTGGGTCCATTCCTCAGCATCATATTGTCTGTGAGCCCAAGCACTGCACTCATTATTGACTGGAGCTTCCTACCCACCACCTCAAGTGTCAAATGGCACTGCCTAAGAGCATCCCCCCAGGAAGACTAAAGGTAAGAGGTGAGCTTGCATCAATGACATGAAAAACAATGGAAACTACTCTGCCCTCAGGAAGCTTGATCCTGAGCAAGAACATAGTGCCATAGTCCCCTCCAAAAATTTGCAGACAAAACCTAGAGAACACCAGGGTCTTGTACAAAGTGAGCTCCAAAGATAAAAACAGTAGGTGGCATAGCCCCTTTGGTGCCCGCTGCCCTGGAATAAGCACCAGTACCAGGGGGACTTTGTGAAACTCAGTCAGGGATGAGCAGTGAAAATCTCATTGTTTCTAAGCAACATCACGCCAAAAAAGAAAGACCCACCATTTGCCAGGCCATCTGAGCAGATGACACCAGCATCCTCCCCGTGGTTACAACTGTGTGAGTTCCAACTTCGGTGCAAGCAGCTCCATAGGAAGGACTCCTGCCCTGAACAGAGCACATCGTCCAGGAGAATGGGCCCTGAGCCCTGACCAAACTGGGCACTTCCTGGAGCTGAAATGGCCCAACCACAGCCCAGCTGCCGGCACACCACGCTGGCATCACTGATGTCCCAGTAGTCATCACACACAGTCCCCCAGGAGCCTTCGTAGAGAACCTCCACCCGGCCTTGACAACGGTCGCTCCCATTAACCAGCCTCAGATCCAAAGTCCAATTTGTCCTATGCCCTAGGGATGACAGAGAAACATGTGTTCTGTGAATAAGTTGAGCCATCAGGCCTGATGCATATTCTAGACTCTCGGGACAACCACATGATATAAACACCTGAAAAAAACACTCAGTTTTGGACACCTGAAGAGGTTCATTTTCATTACAAGAAAGGAGCAGAGATACCCTACCCCACCAGGTTAAGGGGTAACAGAATGACACATTATGACCAACAAGGAGGTGACAGGGTGGGCCTCTCGAAAAGTGGACCCACAAGCGTGAATATTATCTCTCTGAAGGAAGATCTCCATAGATCCAAGGGCCTCACCACGGATACACACTCCATAATGCCCCAAGTATACAGGGTGGTCTCAGTTACAAACACAGGAAGTCAGGGGAAGACAGCCTGAGTGACTGGATGGACACATTCACCCCTTCCCCTTGGGACAGTAGCCAGAGGCCAGAGCCACCAGCAGGCTCTCAGTGGGATGAAGCAGCCAGGCCACCAGCACTCACACTCAGCCATGGAAGGGGGTCTGTGCTGAGCCTCTGCCTAGCACCTCGCTGGAGATGAGATGACACACAATGCTGTCATATGCAGGACCTGTGTGCACACAGTATTTCTTTAAGGGCCCCACTACAGGGACAAGGGCATGAATGGCCCACGTGGAACCGCTTCCCCTCACGTTCCATCCCAGCCTTAATTCGGGGGTCAGAGGCACAGCCCTGGGGGAGAGGGAGAGGAATACACACCTGAGTCTGTGCTTGATGGTGTTGAAGGCATGGAAGTGCTTGGCCGTGTGCCTACAAGTGACAACAAAGGGAAAGGCCACACTTAGGGGTCACCAATATTGACCCTTCAAGACTTTGGTGGGGGCATCAGGACAATTGCCTGTGTGCATCCTGCAGCTTGCTACCTTAATGTGCACAAGCCCACTCTTCTGCTAGGTCTGTGGGGTCCAAGGCCCTGTAGGAGACCCCGTCGTTTCCTTTAAATCTCTCAGCCTGCTGGGATCTCTTCTAAACTAAAACAGCTTTGCCCTCTCCCATCCCTGAGGCATGTGCTCATTGGCAGTGCCGAGAGGCTGACAAGACTCTAGAGCTTGGATGGAAAGAGTCAGCAACATGCCTTTATAAGCAGGAGCCAATCAAATGTCGCCTGTTTGGCAAACCATTGTCACATATTACTCCACCCCCCACCCCCACAGGCACTGTGCCTGCCCCACAGGGAAAGGGATATCAATGGCTCACTTGGAACCTTTTCCTTCACCTTCCATCCCAGCCTTGAGTCAGGAGCAGAGGCAAAGCCCTGGGGGCAGGGGATGAAAGGAATGTATACCTGAGTCTGTGCTTGCTGCTGTTGACAGGGAAGTGCTCAGCCACGTGTCTATAAGTGACAACAAGGGGAAAGGCCACAGTTAGAGATCGTCCATACTGACCTGTTGACAATTGCCCCTGTGCCTCCTGCTGCTTGTTACCTTAATCTGCACAAGTCTACTTTTCAGTAAGGTCTGTAGGGTCCAAGGCCCTGTAGGAGATCCTGTTGTTTCCTTTAAATGCCTCAGCCTGCTGAGTACTATTCTAAACTGAAACAGCTTTGCCCTCTACCGTCTCCAAGTCATGTGCTCACTGGCAGTGACAAGAGTAAAACTTGCATAGAAAAAGTCAGGGACATGGGTGTGAAAGCAGGGGCCAATCAAATGTCAGTGTATTTGGAAAACTGTTAGCACGTGTTGCTCCACCATCCCCTGGGCACTGTGTCTGTGACATAGCGATACAGGTGTGACCATCAGAATCTCAGTGTGTTGAAGGTGTGAGGGGAGGAGGGAGGACCAAAGTCTGATGTGCCATCAACAGGGCCCCAGTGGTTATGAATGTGCATTGTCCTACAAAAAGTGCACCAGCCTGGATATGACAGTGTCCGTGTCATGTCACTGGAGGTCTTCCCGGGGGACCTTGGTGGCCATCTTTAGGGATAGCAATGAAGTATTGGGAGAGAATCAAAGGGATGAATAATACATGGAGTCCTGGCAATGCCACATATACTGCCACACCACTGTAGGGATCTCAGGGACGAGTGGCAGAGAGCCCATGCACATGGGCACGTTCACAGGGCAGGCAGGGGCTTAGCCAGAGTGAGGAGGAGAGGTGTGGAGGTGCAGAAAGAAAAGACATATCTGAGGAAGGTTGCTGGCAACTCACCTGGACGTGATGTCGTATGGGAGTGAGTGGCTGTGAGGAAGAGAAGGAAAATGTTAGCCAAGGGGCACACAGTTGTCTGACCCTGACCCAAGGTTGATGAGCCTTGTCTTATACCCTCCGCGCTGATGCCTGGCTGTGGAAACTACTGCTGGCTGCCCAAACAACTGTCCTTCCCATCATCTGCTTCACTGTGCCCGAGGACTAACTTTTCTCTTTGCCAAAGACGGTGTCTTGCCTGAGATAGGCCACCGTAGCCTGGGCTGACACCCTGGGAATTAGCAGAGCATGACCCAAATAAATGGGTTGGAGTATATGCCAATTTTTCCTTCTCGAGGTGTGATGACAAGGTGCTCTGCAGCAATTTCTAGAGATTCCCCATGCATTGTTCAACTGTCCTCAAGGCGCTGCCTGGCTCACCAGCATTCCATTCACTTGCCACCATCATGTCGGACCTCACACTGCCCCTGCCCCTCGTTCAGAATTTCACAGAGGAATTCCCTGCCCTTTGCACACCTCTGGGTCCATTCCTCAGCATCATATTGTCTGTGAGCCCAAGCACTGCACTCATTATTGACTGGAGCTTCCTACCCACCACCTCAAGTGTCAAATGGCACTGCCTAAGAGCATCCCCCAGGAAGACTAAAGGTAAGAGGTGAGCTTGCATCAATGACATGAAAAACAATGGAAACTACTCTGCCCTCAGGAAGCTTGATCCTGAGCAAGAACATAGTGCCACAGTCCCCTCCAAAAATTTGCAGACAAAACCTAGAGAACACCAGGGTCTTGTACAAAGTGAGCTCCAAAGATAAAAACAGTAGGTGGCATAGCCCCTTTGGTGCCCGCTGCCCTGGAATAAGCACCAGTACCAGGAGGACTTTGTGAAACTCAGTCAGGGAGGAGCAGTGAAAATCTCATTGTTTCTAAGCAACATCACGCCAAAAAAGAAAGACCCACCATTTGCCAGGCCATCTGAGCAGATGACACCAGCATCCTCCCCGTGGTTACAACTGTGTGAGTTCCAACTTCGGTGCAAGCAGCTCCATAGGAAGGACTCCTGCCCTGAACAGAGCACATCGTCCAGGAGAATGGGCCCTGAGCCCTGACCAAACTGGGCACTTCCTGGAGCTGAAATGGCCCAACCACAGCCCAGCTGCCGGCACACCACGCTGGCATCACTGATGTCCCAGTAGTCATCACACACAGTCCCCCAGGAGCCTTCGTAGAGAACCTCCACCCGGCCCTGACAACGGTCGCTCCCATTAACCAGCCTCAGATCCAAAGTCCAATTTGTCCTATGCCCTAGGGATGACAGAGAAACATGTGTTCTGTGAATAAGTTGAGCCATCAGGCCTGATGCATATTCTAGACTCTCGGGACAACCACATGATATAAACACCTGAAAAAAACACTCAGTTTTGGACACCTGAAGAGGTTCATTTTCATTACAAGAAAGGAGCAGAGATACCCTACCCCACCAGGTTAAGGGGTAACAGAATGACACATTATGACCAATAAGGAGGTGACAGGGTGGGCCTCTCGAAAAGTGGACCCACAAGCATGAATATTATCTCTCTGAAGGAAGATCTCCATAGATCCAAGGGCCTCACCACGGATACACACTCCATAATGCCCCAGGTATACAGGGTGGTCTCAGTTACAAACACAGGAAGTCAGGGGAAGACAGCCTGAGTGACTGGATGGACACATTCACCCCTTCCCCTTGGGACAGTAGCCAGAGGCCAGAGCCACCAGCAGGCTCTCAGTGGGATGAAGCAGCCAGGCCACCAGCACTCACACTCAGCCATGGAAGGGGGTCTGTGCTGAGCCTCTGCCTAGCACCTCGCTGGAGATGAGACGACACACAATGCTGTCATATGCAGGACCTGTGTGCACACAGTATTTCTTTAAGGGCCCCACTACAGGGACAAGGGCATGAATGGCCCACGTGGAACCGCTTCCCCTCACGTTCCATCCCAGCCTTAATTCGGGGGTCAGAGGCACAGCCCTGGGGGAGAGGGAGAGGAATACACACCTGAGTCTGTGCTTGATGGTGTTGAAGGCATGGAAGTGCTTGGCCGTGTGTCTACAAGTGACAACAAAGGGAAAGGCCACGCTTAGGGGTCACCAATACTGACCCTTCAAGACTTTGGTGGGGGCATCAGGACAATTGCCAGTGTGCATCCTGCAGCTTGCTACCTTAATGTGCACAAGCCCACTCTTCTGCTAGGTCTGTGGGGTCCAAGGCCCTGTAGGAGACCCCGTCGTTTCCTTTAAATCTCTCAGCCTGCTGGGTTCTCTTCTAAACTAAAACAGCTTTGCCCTCTCCCATTCCCGAGGCATGTGCTCATTGGCAGTGCCGAGAGGCTGACAAGACTCTAGAGCTTGGATGGAAAGAGTCAGCAACATGCCTTTATAAGCAGGAGCCAATCAAATGTCGCCTGTTTGGCAAACCATTGTCACATATTACTCATCCCCCACCCCCACAGGCACTGTGCCTGCCCTTCAGTGAAGCAGGTATGACCACCTGAATCACAGTGTGTTGAAGGTGTGAGGGGAGGTGAGAAGACCAAAGTCTGGTGTGCCATCTACAGGATCCCGGTGGTTATGAATGTGCACTACCCCACAAAAAGTGCACCAGCCTGGATATGATAGGATCGACATCACACATTGGATGCCATCTCTCTGAACATTGGCGGCCATCTTTAGGGGCATCAGCCAAGTATTAGGGGAGACCACAAATGGATGAATAATACATGGAATCCTGGAAATACCACTGTTGGAATACTTGCACAGCACTGTTAGAATCTCAGGGATGAACGACAGAGAGTATAGGCAAATAGGCATGTTCACAGTGCAGGGGTCACTCAGAGTAAGGGGAAGAACATGGAGGTGCAGAAAGAGAAAATATCCAAAAAAGGTCACTGGCAGCTCACCTGGCCGTGATGTCGTATGGGACTGAGCGGCTGTGAGAGACAGGAGGAAAATGTTAGCTGAGGGGCACACAGTTGCCTTACCCTGACTCAAGGTTGATGACCCTCATCTTATACCCACTGAGCTGACACCTCGCCCGTGCTCTCATTGTGGATACTATTGTGTGCTGCGCCAACCTGTGCCCTTTCCATCACTGTCCACACTGTGCTCGAGGACTAACTTTTCTGTTGGTCAAAGCCAGTGTCATCCCTGACCTAGGCCACCAGAGCCTTGTCTGACACCCCAGGAATGAGCTGAGGATGAATGTGACCAATGGGTTGATGAAGATGCCCAATTTTCCACCTTGAGGTGTGTTGACGGTGGTCCTTTATAGAAGTTCCAGAGTTTCCCCATAGAGCATGCCCTGTCCCCAAGGCTCTACCTGGCTCACCAACATTCTATTCATTGGCCACCCGCCACCTCACACCTCACCCCACCCCCTCCCACCCATCCCGTAGTGCACAGAGGAGCACTCTACTCCTGGGTCTGATCTTCAGTGTCAGATTCCGAGGCCACAAGAAGCTCATTGATCACCGCAGCATGGGGCATCCTACCCACCCCAACACCCACAAAGGACTCTGCCTAGACCATCACTCCAGGGGGACAAGGAGTGTGAGGTGAGCTCATATTACCAAGGCAGAATGAAAAGGTTCCCTGCTCTGTACTAGGAAGCTGGACCCTGAGCAAGAACATGGTACCACAGTCTCCTCCCACAACCTGTGAGCAATACCTAGAGAATGCTGGGGTCCTGCACAAACGGAGCACCTTACTTCAACAGAGCAGGTGACATAACCCCTTGGGTGCCTGCTGACCTGAAATAAGCACCAGTCCTAGGGTCAACACTCTGAGGCTGACACAGGGGCTCTGGAGTGGGAATTTTGTCAGTTCTGGGCCATATCACCTCATGAAAGGGAGACTCATTTTTTGTGAGGCCCACCTGAGCAGATGACCCCTGCATCTTCCTTGTGATGACAGTTGTGCGAGTTCCAGCCTTGGTGTGCACAGGTCCAAAGAAAGGGTGCATGCTGTGTGCAGCGCAAGTCATCCAGAAGAATGGGCCCTGAGCCTTGACCGAACCAGGCACTTCCTATGGCCGATGTTGCCCAGCCACAGCCCAGCTGCCTGCAGACCACGTTGGCATCATTGATGTCCCAGTCATCATCACACACAGTCCCCCAGGCACCTTGGTAGAGAACTTCCACCCGGCCCTGACACCGGTCACCTCCATTCACCAGCCTCAGGTCCAAATTCCAGTGAGTCCCCAAACCTATTTATGGCAGAAGAACACCTCCTGTGTGCTTATGATGATTTGTCAGGCCTGAAGTCAGTGCCAGACTTCTGGGAACCCCCCTGACATTAACTACCTTGGGCTAACTGTCAGCATTGTATATATTCTCAGGGTCATGTTAATCAGAACAAAGGAGCACAGATGTCTCATCTCCAGAAGACAAGGAAGCTACAATGAGGTACAGCCTCCTGAGGGTGTCGGGGACATGATTTGGACTACCACCCTGGCTGCACAAGGAAAGTGTCCCTTGTGTGGTCTCAAGAAGTTTGATCCTGTCTATAATCATGGACATGCAGGCATTGCCAACTCAATTTCAGGTGGTATCACCAGGATACTGGGGATATACATACTCTAACCAAGGTGCTTTTTCAGCTATAGCAAGTAACATAATATGTCCAATACCCTCGTGCAAACTCCATTGCCAGCCACAGAGTTTTGCTTGGGAATTAACAGAGGAGTGTTAAGTATGTTTGGTTTCTGTCATTTCACCCAGAAGAGTTTCACTGATGCATGGGACTCACCTGAGCAGATGACACTAGCGTCCTCCCCATGGTTACAGTTGTGTGTGTTCCAGCCTCGGTGAGGGCAGCTCCATAGGTGGGACTCATGCCCCAAACAGCCCACATTGTCCAGGAGAATTGGCCCTGAGCCCTGACCAAATCGGGCACTTTGTGGAGCCGACTTAGCTAAGCCACAACCCAGTTGCTTACACACCATGTTGGCATCCTTGATGTCCCAATCATCATCACACACGGTCCCCCAGAAGCCTTTGTAGAGAATCTCTACCCGGCCCTGACACCGGTCACCTCCATTCACCAGCCTCAGGTCCAAAGTGCCTTCTGTCCCGAATCCTATGGATGGTATAAGAACACCACCTTTATAACTATGTTCTGCCTCCAGGCTGAAACATGGTCCAGTCCCTTTTGGGATACCCTAATGACCTAATCACCCAGGGCAAAAAGTGAGCTGTGGTCACATGTAGAGATCCATCTTCATCACCAGAAGAAAGCAGATATGTCTTTCCTACAAAGTCAAGGCTGTTTCAATAAAGGGAAATACTCATGACTGCCCCCCAATTGTGTTGAGTGGGATGACACTCTGATACAACACAATAATGCTACCTGCTCTGCCAGGAAGCCTGATCCAGTGTATGAACCACCACCAATCTGATTTCCAGCAATCCTAGCAGATTCTGGGGACATATGTATTCTAACTAAGATACTTTCTCAGCTCTGTCAGGTGACATAGTATCTTGGGTTCAAGCTGCCCTAGCACAAACTCCAGTGATAGGCACAGTATCATGATGCTTGGGAATTAGCCCAGGACTGGAAAGTGTGCTTGGTCTCTGCAATGTCACCCAGAATGGGGTTCAACAAAATCTGAGGCCCACCTGAGCAGATAACGCCAGCGTCCTCCCCGTGGTTACAGTTGTGTGAGATCCAGCCTTGGTGTGGGCAGCTCCACAGGTAGGACTCATTCCCTAAACAACCCACATTGTCCAGGACAATGGGCCCTGAGCCCTGAGCGAACCGGGCACTTCCAGGAGCTGATGTGGCCAGGCCACAGCCCAGCTGTCTGCACACCACGTTGGCATCATTGATGTCCCAATCGTCATCACACACGGTCCCCCAGGAGCCTTTGTAGAGAACCTCCAACCGGCCCTGACAGCGGTCAGCTCCATTCACCAGCATCAGAGCCAAATTTGATTCAGTCTCAAACCCTAGACATGGTAGAAGGACACTTGCTTCATGACTGTGCTGAGCTTCCAGACCTAAGGCACATGCCAGACTCCTGGGACACCCTCCTGGCCTAACAACTGAGGGAACCGGTCGTCTCTGGATACATGCAGTGATCATCATCATCAGAGGGATATAGTAGAGATGTCCTATCTCACTAGGTCAATGCTACTATAATGGAGGTGAGCACCCATGACTGCCCCCAGGGTGGTGAGTGGGACTGTCTCCTAGACCCAAGGCTCCCTTCTCTGCCCTTGGGAAGCTTGATTTGAGGTATAATCATATGCACACAGCCTCCACCAATTCAATTACCCGAAGTACTAGTAGGATGCTGGGGACATTACTATTCTAACCAAGATGCTGCCTCAGCTGCAGCAGGTGACATAATATCTGATCTTTGAGCTTCCCTAGCCCAATCTCTAGTGCCAAGCACAGCATTATGATAGTTGGTAAGTAGCCCAGGACTGGGAAGTGTACTCGGTCTCTGCAGTGTCACCCAGAAGACCTACCAATGTCTTAGGCGCACCTGAGCAAATGACGCCGGCATCCTCCCCATGGTGACAGTTGTTCAAGTTCCAGCCTTGGTGTGGGCAGCTCCACAGGTAGGACTCATTCCCTGAGCAGCGCATGTTGTCCAGGACAATGGGCCCCGAGCCCTGACCAAACCGGGCACTTCCCGAAGCTGACAAGGCCAAGCCACAGCCCAGCTGTCTGCACACCACATTGGCGTCGTTGATGTCCCAGTCGTCATCACACACGGTCCCCCAGGAACCTCGGTAGAGGACCTCCACCCGGCCCTGACACCGTTCACCTCCGTTCACCAGCCTTAGGGCCCAATTTTCTGCAGTCCCGAACCCTAGAAATGGCAAAGGAACAGCTCCTCAATGACTACGTTGAGCTGCCAGGGCTAAGGCATGTTCCAGACCCCTGGGACACCCTCCTTGCCTAATTACTCAAGAAAACAGTCAGATTTGGACATGTGCAGAGATTCATCTTTATCACAAGAAAGGAGCGAAAATGTCCTTCCCACCAGGTCAAGGCTACTCCAATGAATGGGAGCCCCCACGACAGACACTTGGGTGGTGTGCAGGATTCCCACTCCGGTTGCACATGAAAAGTCTCCCTGAGATGCTGACAGAAAGCTTGATCTTGTGTATGAACACAGGGCACAGCCACCATCAACCTTACTTTCAGCAATACCAGCAGGGTGCTGGGGACATTTCTATTCTAACCAAAATACTTTCTCAGGTACATCAGGTGACATAATATCTTTGGTTCGATCTGCCCTAGCACAAACTCCAGTGCCAGGCACAGTATCATAATGCTTAAAATTAGTACAGAACTAGGAAGTGTGCTTGTTCTCTACAATGTCACCCAGAAGGGGACCCAACAATAACTGAGGCCCACCTGAGCAGATGACGCCAGCATCCTCCCCATGGTCACAGTTGTTCGAGTTCCAGCCTCTGTGTGGGCAGCTCCACAGGTAGGACTCATTCCCCGAGCAACGCACATCGTCCAGGACAATGGACCCCGAGCCCCGACCAAACCGGGCACTTCCCGGAGCTGATGAGGCCCAGCCACAGCCCAGCTGCCTGCACACCACGTTGGCATCCTTGGTGTCCCAATCGTCATCACACACAGTCCCCCAGGAGCCTTGGTAGAGAACCTCCAACCGGCCCTGACACCGGTCACTCCCGTTCACCAGCCTCAAGTCCAAAGATCCTCTGGTCCCAAAACCTAGAGACCACACAAGACCTACTCTGTGACTATGTTGAGCCACCAGGCCTGACACGTGTTCCAGACTCTTGGGACACCCCCATGGCCTAAACACCTGGGGAAAACAGTCAGCTTTGGGCACATGAGGAGATTCATCTCCATCACAGGAAGAGAGAAGAGACGTACTATCTTACCACATCAAGACTACTCCAGTATATGGGAGCCTCCTCGAATGCCTCGAGGGATGTGAGCAGGATTACCATCCCGACCCCACATGGAGCCTCCCAGGGCATAGCTCTATAGCTCCAGGAGCCACTGCAAATGCTCAGCACCTGCTGGCTCCCCCGTGGTCTCAGGTAAACTTAGGCAAAGCCCCAGGAGGTGATGGGACATCTGCCTGATAGAAGAGGGATGGGCACTTCCACCCTGACTTTCTGGGACAGTAGCCGGGGGCCTGAGCCTGCATCCCAGTCTCAAAAGGATGGACTAGCCAGTCCTTGAGCACGCACACTCAGCCATAGAAGGGGGTCTCTGCTGAGCCTCTGCCAATGTTCTCACTAGAAATGGGTCCCCATGCCACTATGTAACACATAGGACCTAGTCTTTTAAACTATTTTGTGGAGGCCCACCATAGGGACAGGACATGAATGCCCCATGTGGAACCTCTTTCCATCATGTTCCATCCCAGTCTTGAATCAGGAGCAGAGGCAGAGCCCTAGAGATGGTGAGAGGAGTATATACCTGGGCTGGTTCTTGCTGGTGTTGAAGGCATGGAAGTACTTGGCCTAGTGTCTACAAGTGACAAAAAAGAGAATGGGCACAGTTAGGCATCACTGAGACAGGACCTTCAACAATTTTATGGTGGAGATAATGAAAACTTCACCTGTGCATCCTGCCTCTTCTGACTTGTGTATGCACCTGGGTCTCCAACAGGTAGGTTTTGGGGTTGAACATTCTGGTGGAGATCACCTTGATTCCTCTAATATCTAAGCCTGTCTTGCTCCTTCTCCACTAAAAACCCTTGGACCTTCCATCCCTGAGTCATGTGCTCACTGGCAGTGCCGAGAGGTTGTCTAGACTCTAGAGCTTGAATGGAAAGTGTCAGTGACGGGGGTTTATAAGCAGGAGCCAATCGAATGTCCTCTTATTTGGAAAGTCATGATCACGTATTTTTCTACTGGCCCCTGGGCACTGTGCCTGCCCCACAGTGATACAGGTGTGACCATCAGAATTTCAGTGTGTTGAAGGAGTGAGGGGAGGTGAGAAGACCAAAGTCTGATGTGCCATCAACAGAACCCCAGTGGTTATGAATGTGCACTACCCCACAAAAAGTGCACCAGCCCGGATATTATAGGATCGACATCACACCTTGGAGGCCATCTCTCTGAACATTGGTGGCCATCTGGGATAGCAACCAAGTATTGGGGGAGACCACAAATGGTTGAATAACACATGGAGTCCTGGAAATGCCACACATACTTGCACAGAACTGCTGGAACCTCAGGGACGGATGACAGAGAGCATAGGCAAATGGGCATCTTCACAGGGCAGGGGCTTGGCCAGAGTGAGGAGGAGAACATGGAGGTGCAGAAAGAGAATACATATCCGAGGAAGGTCCCCAGCAACTCACCTGGCCACAATGTCATATGGGACTGAGCAGCTGTGAGGAAGAGAAGGAAAGTGTTAGCCAAGGAGCACATAGTTGCCCAACCCAGATCCAAGGTTGATGACCCTGGTCTTATATCCACTGAGGGTAAGTCTCGCATGTGCCCTCACTGTGGACACTACCACTAGCTGCCTGAACCTCTGCCCTTGCCCTTACCTGTCTCACTGTGACTGAGGACTAACTTTTCTATTGGTCAAACCCACTAACCCACTGTCATGTCTGAGACAGGCCACCATAGCCATGACTGAAACCCCTGGGAATTAACAGAGGACGACCCTAACAAATGGGTTAGCATAGGTGCTAATCTTTCCACTGTCAGGTGTGATTATGGTGGTCCTCTATAGCAATTTTCAGAGTTTCCCCATATATTATGCTACCATCCCCAAAGGCCCTGACTGGTTCATCAGCATTTCATTCATAGTGACCTGCCATGTCACACCTCAGCCCACCACCTGCCATGCATTCTGTAGCTCACAGAGGAGCTCTGTGCTCTTAGGTCCATTCCTTAACATCAAATTCTGGCAGAGGCCAAAGCACAGCAATCCTCACAGCACTAAGCTTCCCAAACACCCCCATACCCCACAAAGTACCCTTCCTAAGAGCATTACTCCAGGAAGACCCTAGGTGGGAGGTCAGCTGGAGTTGAAGGGGTAGACCAAAAAGGCTCCCTGTTATGTCCTCAGGAAGTTTGACCCTGAGCAGGAGCACAGTTCCACAGTCCCCTCTAACAATGTGTGGGCAATATCTAGACATTGCTAGAGTCCCATACAGACCAAGCTCCTTTTTCAACCAAAGCAGGTGACATAACCCCTTGGATGCCTGCTGCTCTAAATAAGCCCCTATACCAGGGACAACACTACGTGGCTGATGCAGGGGCACTGGGGTGGGAATCTTGTTAGTTCTCAGCAATATCTACCGATGAAAGGGAGACCCACCATGTGTGAGGCCCACCTGAGCAGATGATGCCAGCATCCTCCCCATGATGACAGTTGTGTGAGTTCCAGCCTCGGTGCGGGCAGCTCCATAGGTGGGATGCATGCCCTGAGCAGTGCACGTCGTCCAGGAGAATTGGCCCCAAGCCCTGACCAAACGAGGCATTTCCCAGAGCTAACATGGCCCAGCCGCAGCCCAGCTGCCTGCATACCACATTGGCATCATTGATGTCCCAATAGTCATCACACACAGTCCCCCAGGAGCCTTGGTAGAGAACTTCCAATCGGCCCTGACACCGGTCACCTCCATTGACCAGCCTCAGGTCCAAAGTCCAATCAGTCCTGAACCCTAGAGAAGACACAAGAACACTTCCTTCATGACTGTTGAACTGCCAGGCCTGAGGCATATGCCAGACTCCTGGGACACCCTCCTGGCCTAACCACCCAGGAGAAACAGTCAGCTTTGGACATGTGCAGAGGTTCATCTTTATCACAAGAAAGGAGCAGAGATGTCTTATCTCATTGGTCAAGGCTGCTACAATGCAAAAGAGCCCCCCAATGGCTCCAGGGAGGTGAGTGAAACTGCCACTCCAGCTGCACAAGAAAAGGCTGCCTGCACCGCCCTTAAGAAGCTTGATCTTGCATATAACCATGGACACACAGTCACCACCAAATCAATTTCAGATAGTACCACCAGAATGCAGGGGACATTCTTACTCTAAACAAGATGCTTTCTCAGCTACATTAGGTGACAAAAACGTTGGGTGTCAGCTGCCCTAGCACAAACTCCAGTGCTGGGTATAGTGTTATGATAGCTGGAAATTAGCCCGGAACTGGGAAGTGTGCTGGGTCTCTGCAATGTCATCCAAAATGTCCAGCAATGTCTGGGACCCACCTGAGCAGATGACACTAGCATCTTCCCCGTGGTTACAGTTTTGAATGTTCCAGCCTCGGTGTGGGCAGCTCCACAGGTGGGACTCTTGTGCTGAACAGCCCACATTGTCCAGGAGAATTGGCCCTGAGCCCTGACCAAATCGGGCACTTTGTGGAGCTGACTTGGCCAAGCCACAGCCCAGCTGCTTGCACACCATGTTGGCATCCTTGATGTCCCAATCATCATCACACACAGTCCCCCAGGTGCCTTTGTAGAGAACCTCCACTCGGCCCTGACAGCGGTCACCTCCATTCACCAACCTGAGGTCCAAAGTCCCTTCGGTTCCAACCCCTAGAGAAAGCACAAAAACAACTCCTCCATGACCATGTTAGCTGCCAGACCTGAGGAATGTGCCAGACTCCTGGGACACCATCATGGCCACACCACTCAGGGCAAACAGTCAACTATGGCCATCCACAGAGGTTCATCTTCATCACCGGAAAGAAGCAGAAACGTCCTTCTTGCCTGGTCAACTGCTCCCATGGAGGGGAGCAGCAATGACCACCCCCAAGGTGTTGACCAGTATGCCACCCTGACTCCACATGAAAAGGCTCCCTGTTCTGTCCCCAGGTAGCTTGATCCAGTGTATAAATACAGAGAGAATCTGCCACCAATCTGATTTCCAGAAATCCCAGGAGGATGTTGAGGACTTACCTATTCTAACCGAGATGTTTTCTCAGCTATAGTGGATGACATAATGTATGGGTTTCATGCTCCTTTAGTACAAACACCAGTGCTAGGCACAGCATCAAAATGCTTGGGAACTACCCCAGGACTGGGAAGTGTGTTTGGTCTCTGTAATGTTACCCAGTAGGTGTTCAGTGAAGTCTGAGGCCCACCTGAGCAGATGACACCAGCGTCCTCCCCGTGGTTACAGTTGTGTGAGTTCCAGCCTCTGTGTGGGCAGCTCCACAAGTAGGACTCATTTCCTGAGCAGCCAACATTGTCCAGGAGAATGGGGTCTGAGCCCTGAGCGAACCGGGCACTTCCTGGAGCTGCTGTGGCTGAGCCACAGCCCAGCTGCCTGCACACCACATTGGCATCCTTGATGTCCCAGTCGTCGTCACACACAGTCCCCCATGAGCCTTTGTGGAGAACCTCCACCCGACCCTGACAGCGGTCACCTCCATTCACCAGCCTCAGGGCCAAACTCAATTCGGTCTCAAACCCTAGACATGGCAGAAGAACAACTCCTTTGTGAGTATGCTGAGCCACCAGGCCTGAAGCATGTGCTAGACTCCCAGGACACCCTCCTGGTTGAACTACCCATGGGAAATTTTCATCTCTAGTCACATGCAGAGATCATCTTCATCACAGGAAAGAAGAGACATCTTGCCATGCCAGGACAGGCTGCTCTAATGGAAGAGAGCACCCATGACCCCACATGGGAGGTGAGCAATACTGCCATCGGACCACATATAAAAAGGCTCCCTGCTCGGCCCTCAGGAAGCTTGATCCTGCATATAATGCTGGGTACACGGCCACCACATAATCAATTACTGCCAGTACCAGCAAGATGCCTGGGACATTCCTATTCTAACCAAGATGCTGCCACCTACATCAGGTGTCATAATATCTTGGGTGCCTGCTGCTTTAGCAAAAACTCCAGTGCCAGTCACAGCATTATGATGCTTGAAATTAGCCCACAAACGGGAAGTGTGCTTGGTCTCTGCAATGTTGCTCAATAGAGGTTCAGTAAAGTCTGAGGCCTACCTGCACAGATGACGCTGGCATCTGCCCCGTGGTTACAGTTGTGCGAGTTCCAGCCTCGGTGTGGGCAGCTCCACAGGTAGGACTCATTCCCTGAGCAGCCCACGTCGTCCAGGACAATGGGCCCCGAGCCCCGACCGAACCGGGCACTTCCTGGAGCTGACGAGGCCAAGCCACAGCCCAGCTGCCTGCACACCACCTTGGCATCGTTGATGTCCCAATCGTCGTCACACACGGTCCCCCAGGAGCCTTGGTAGAGAACCTCCAACCGGCCCTGACACTGGTCATTTCCATTCACCAGCCTCAGGGCCCAGTTCCCTTCAGTCCCAAACCCTAGGGAAGACACAAGAACACATCCTCCATGACTATGTTGAGCTGCCAGCCCTGAGGGACATGCCAGACTTCTGAGACACACTCCTGGTCTAACCACCCAGGGCAAACATTCAGCTTTCAACATGTACACAGGTTCATCTTTACCACAAAGAAGAAACAGAGGTGCCCTTCCCACAAGGTGAAGGCTGATCCAATGAAGGGGAGCTCCTTTGACCACCCTCAGGGTGTTGAGAGAGATGCCACCCTCAGCCCGCACCAAGAGACTTCCTGCTCTGTCCTCAGGAGGCTTGGTCCTGTGTATGAACAGCCCCCACCAACCTGATGTCCAGCAATCCCAGCAGGATCCTGGGGACATACCTATTGTAACAAGATGCTTTGTCACCTACAGCAAGTGACATAATATCTTGGATGTCAGCTGCCCTAGTGCAGTCTCCAGTGCCAGGTACAGCATTATGATTCTTGGGAATGAGCCCAAGACTGGGAAGTGTGCTTGGTCTCTGCAGTGTCACCCAGCAGGGGTTCAGTGAAGTCTGAGGCCCACCTGAGCAGATGACACCTGCATCCTCCCCGTGGTTACAGTTGTGTGAGTTCCAGCCTCGGTGTGGGCAGCTCCACAGGTAGGACTCATTCCCTGAGCAACGCACATCGTCCAAGACAATGGGGTCTGAGCCCTGTCCAAACCGGGCACTTCCTGGAGCCGATGTGGCTGAGCCACAGCCCAGCTGCCTGCACACCACATTGGCATCCTTGATGTCCCAATCGTCGTCACACACGGTGCCCCAGGAGCCTTTGTAGAGAACCTCCAACCGGCCCTGACAGCGGTCACTCCCATTCACCAGCATCAGGTCCAATGCGCCTCCAGTCCCAAACACTAGAAATGGCAAAAGAATACCTTCTGTGTAACTATGTACAGCTGCCAGGCCTGAGGCAGGTTCCAGACCCTCGGGATGCTTTCATGGCCAAACCACTTGGGGAAATAGGCAGTTTTGGAAGAGTGCAGATGTTCACCTTACTCACAGGAAAGAAGCAGAGATGACCTATCCCACCAGCTTAAGGCTGCTCCAATGTACAGGAGCTTCCCTGACAGTCCCCAGGGAGGTGAGCCAGACTTACTCCCCAGTCCCACTTGGGGACTCCCAAAGAAGAGCTCAATAGCTCCAGGTGAATTGTCCATAATTTGTACCTGCTGGCTCTCCGGTGGGTCCAGTAACATCAGGTATAGCCCCAGGAAATGATGGGCTATCGGCCTGACAGGAGGGGAATGGGTATCTTCTCCAACTGCCCCAGAAGCCTGCGCCTTCAGCCCAGTCTCAGCAGGATGAACCAGCCAGGCTGCCAGCACTCACACTCAGCCATGGAAGGAGGTCTATGCTGAGGTTCTGCCTAGCACCTCACTAAAGATGAGATGACACTCAACTATGTCACACATAGGACCTGGTCTCACAGAGTCTTTCTTTAAGGGCCCCACCACAGGGTCAAGGACATAAATGGCTCACATGGAACCACTTCCCCTCACGTTCCATCCCAACCTTATATTGGGGGGGCAGAGGCACAGCCCTGGGGGAGGGGGACAGGAATACACACCTGAGTCTGTGCTTGATGGTGTTGAAGGCATGGACGTGCTTGGCCGTGTGTCTACAAGTGACAACAAAGGGAAAGGCCACACTTAGAGGTCACCAATACTGACCCTTCAAGACTTTGGTGGGGGCATCAGGACAATTGCCAGTGTGCATCCTGCAGCTTGCTACCTTAATGTGCACAAGCCCACTCTTCTGCTAGGTCTGTGGGGTCCAAGGCCCTGTAGGAGATCCCGTCATTTCCTTTAAATCTCTCAGCCTGCTGGGTTCTCTTCTAAACTAAAACAGCTTTGCCCTCTCCCATCCCTGAGGCATGTGCTCACTGGCAGTGCCGAGAGGCTGACAAGACTCTAGAGCTTGGATGGAAAGAGTCAGGATGGGTTTATAAGCAGGGGCCAATCAAATGTCACCTGTTTGGCAAACCATTGTCACATATTACTCCACCCCCACCCCTGGGCACTGTGCCTGCCCCACAGTGATGCAGGTGTGACCATCAGAATTTCAGTGCATTGAAGGGGTGAGGGGAGGTGAGAAGACAAAAGTCTGATGTGCCATCAACAGGACCCCAGTGGTTATGAATGTGCACTACCACACAAAAAGTGCACCAGCCTGGATATGATAGGATGGACATCACACTTTGGTGGCCATCTCTCTGAACATTGGTGGCCATCTTTAGGGGCACCAGCCAAGTATTAGGGGAGACCACAAATGGATGAATAATACATGGAATCCTGGAAATGCCACTGTTGGAATACTTGCACAGCACTGTTAGAATCTCAGGGACGGACGACGGAGAGCATAGGCAAATGGGCATGTTCACAGGGCAGGGATTCACTCAGAGTGAGGAGAACATGAGGTGCAGAAAGAGAAGATATCCAAGGAAGGTCACTGGCAGCTCACCTGGCCACAATGTCGGGTGGGACTGAGCAGCTGTGAGGAAGAGAAGGAAAATGTTAGCCAAGGGGCACACAGTTGTCTGACCCAGATCCAAGGTTGATGACCCTGGTCTTATACCCACTGAGATGATGCCTGATATGATCCCTCATTGTGGACACTACCACTGGCTGTCCCAACCTCTCTCCTTGCCTTTACCTGCCTCACTGTGACCAGGAGTAATTTTTTGCTGGTGAAAGGGGTGTCTTGCCTGAGGCCACCATAGCCTTGGCTGACACCCTGGTAATTAGCAGAGGATGACTGTGATGATTGGGTTGCTATAGATGCCAATTTTTACACCTCCACGTGTGAGGTCAGTGGTCCTTTATAGTGAGTTGTAGAGTTTCCCCATGCATCTTACCACCATCCCAAATGTTCTTCCTGCCTCACCACCATTCCATTCATTGGTCACCTACCACCTCACACCTTACCCCGCCTCCTGCCACCCATTCTGTAGTTCACAGAGGAGCTCTGTGCTCTTATGGCTCTTCCTGAGCATCAGATTCTAGGAAACCCCTAAGCACTGCACTCATTCTGGAATGAAGCTTTTCATCCACCTACGTACTCGACAAAGTGCTCTGCCTAAGAGCTTGACCCTAGGTGGTAGGTAAGCTCATGTTACCAAGTCAGAAAAAAAGGCTCCCTGCCCTACCCTCAGGAAGCTGGACCCTGAACAAGAACACGGTGCCACAGGCCCCTCCAACACCCTGTGGGCAATTCCCAGAGAACACCGGGGTCCCATAGGGACCAACCTCCTTTTTCACCCAGAGCAGGTAACGTAACCTCTTGGGTGCCTGCTGCTTTGGAATAAAGTCCAGTACCAGGAACGATACTACGATGCTCAGACAGGGGCACTGGAGTGGGAATCATTTTAGTTCTAAGTACTAACACCCCACCAAAGGGAGACCCACAATGTGTGAGGCCCACCTGAGCAGATGACACTTGCATCCTCCACGTGGTGACAGTTGTGTGAGTTCCAGCCTTGGTGTGGGCAGCTCCAAAGGTAGGACTCGTGCCCTGAGCAGCGCATATCGTCCAGGACAATGGGCCCTGAGCCCTGACCGAACCGGGCACTTCCCAGAGCCAATGTGGCCCAGCCACAGCCCAGCTGCCTGCACACCACATTGGCATCATTGATGTCCCAGTCATCATCACACACAGTCCCCCAGGAGTCTTGGTAAAGAACCTCCACCCGGCCCTGACACCGGTCACCTCCATTGACCAGCCTCAGGTCCAAAGTCCAATTGGTTCCAACCCCTAGGGAAGACATAGAATAGCTCCTTAGTGATTATGTTGAGTTGTCAGGCCTGTGGCACATACCAGATTTCAGGGACACCCTCCTGACCTAAGCACCCAAGGCAAACAGTCAGCTTTGGAAACGTGCACAGGTCATCTCCATCACAAGAAAGAAGAGACGTCCTATCTCTCATCAGGTGAAGGCTGATCCAGTGTATAGGAGCCTCCATTAAAGACCCCAGCGAGGTGAGAGAGACTACAGCCCCCCTGACCGAACATGAAAAGGCTGCCTGCACTGCCCTTAAGAAGCTCCATCCTGCGTATACCCATAGGCACACAGTCACCACCATTCAATTCTGGGCAGTACCACCAGGATGCAGGGGACATACCTACTCTAACCAAGATGCTTTCTCAGCTATAGCACTAGACTTAATATCTTGGGTTCGAGCTGCCCTAGGGAAAACTCCAGTGCTGGGAACAGCATTATATTTGGGAATTAACACAAGACTGGGAAGTGTGCTTGGTCTATGCAATATCACCCAGAAAGGGTTCAGCAATGTGTGAGGCCCACCTGAGCAGATGACACCAGCGTCCTCCCCATGGTTACAGTTGTGTGTGTTCCAGCCTCCGTGAGGGCAGCTCCACAGGTGGGACTCTTGTGCTGAACAGCCCACATTGTCCAGGAGAATTGGCCCTGAGCCCTGACCAAATCGGGCACTTTGTGGAGCTGACTTGGCCAAGCCACAGCCCAGCTGCTTGCACACCATGTTGGCATCCTTGATGTCCCAATCATCATCACACACAGTCCCCCAGGTGCCATTGTACAGAACCTCCACCCGGCCCTGACACCGGTCACTCCCATTCACCAGCCTCAGTTCCAAAGTCCCTTCTGTCCTGAACCCTAGAGATAACACAAAAACACATCCTTCGTGACTATGTTGAGCCCCCAGGCCTGAGGCAGTTTTCAGACTCTGGGACACCATGTTGGCCTAACCACTTGGGTCAAACAGTCAGCTATGAAAATATGTAGCGAATCATCTTAATTAAAAGAAAGTAGCAGAGACATCCTTTCCACCAGTTCAGTGCAGCTGCAGTTAAGGAGAGCACCCATGACCACCCCCAGGGAGGTTAGCAGGATGCCAATGAGGCTCCCTGGTTTGCCCTCAGGAATCTTAATCCTGTGTATATATGTGGGGCACAGCCCCCACCAATCTTATTTCCAGATACCCAGCAGGATGCTAGGGACTCACCTATTCTAACCAAGATGCTTTCTCAGCTACATCAGGTGACATACTATCTTGGGTTTGAGCTGCCCTAGTACAAACTCCAGTGCTAGGCACAGTATCAAAATGCTTGGAAATTAGCCCAGGACTGGAAAGAGTGCTTGGTCTCTACAATGTCACCCAGAATGGGGTTTGGCAAAGTCTGAGGCCCACCTGAGCAGATGATGCTGGCATCCTCCCCATGGTTACAGTTGTGTGACTGCCAGCCTCCATGTGAGCAGCTCCACAGGTAGGACTCATTCCCTGAGCAGCCAACATTGTCCAGGAGAATGGGGTCTGAGCCCTGACCGAACCGGGCACTTCCCGGAGCTGACATGGCCAAGCCACAGCCCAGCTGCCTGCACACTACGTTGGCGTCATTGATGTCCCAGTCGTCGTCACACACGGTCCCCCAGGAGCCTTTGTAGAGGACCTCTACCCGGCCCTGACAGCGGTCGCCTCCATTCACCAGCCTCAGGGACAAACTCAATTCAGTCTCGAACCCTAGAGACAGCAGAAGAACAACTTCATGACTATGTTCAGCTGCCGGGCTTGAGGCATGTTCCAGATTCCTGGGACACCCTCCCAGTTGAACTATCCATGGAAAACTGTCATCCCTGGATAAGTGCAGAATATCCTCATCACGGGAAAGTAGAAGAGACATCTTATCGTGATACATCAATGCTATTCCAATGAAGTGGAGCACCCATGACTGCCTCCAGGGAGGTGAGCAGAACTGTCATCCTGACCACACATGAAAGGCCCTGGGGTTTGTCCTCCAGAAGCTTGATACTGTGTGTAATTATTGGTTCATAGCCTCCACCAAAGGATTTCTTGCAATCCCAGCCAGATGCTGAGGACTCACTATTCTAACCAAGATGCTTTTTCAGCTACAGTAGGTGACATAATATCTTGAGTTCCAGTTACCTCAGCACAAACTACATTGCCGGGCACATCACCATGAGGCTCGGGAATTAGCCCAGGACTGGGAAATGTGCTTGGTCTCTGCAATGTCACCCAGAAGAAGACCCACCAATGTGAGAGGCCCACCTTGGCAGATGACACCAGCCTCCACCCCGTGGTTACAGTTGTGCGAGTTCCAGCCTCGGTGTGGGCAGCTCCACAGGTAGGACTCATTCCCTGAGCAGCCCACGTCGTCCAGGACAATGGGCCCCGAGCCCCGGCCGAACCGGGCACTTCCCGGAGCTGACGAGGCCAAGCCACAGCCCAGCTGCCTGCACACCACCTTGGCATCGTTGATGTCCCAATCGTCGTCACACACGGTCCCCCAGGAGCCTTGGTAGAGAACCTCCAACCGGCCCTGACACTGGTCATTTCCATTCACCAGCCTCAGGGCCCAGTTCCCTTCAGTCCCAAACCCTAGGGAAGACACAAGAACACATCCTCCATGACTATGTTGAGCTGCCAGCCCTGAGGGACATGCCAGACTCCTGAGACACACTCCTGGTCTAACCACCCAGGGCAAACATTCAGCTTTCAACATGTACACAGGTTCATCTTTACCACAAAGAAGAAACAGAGGTGCCCTTCCCACAAGGTGAAGGCTGATCCAATGAAGGGGAGCTCCTTTGACCACCCTCAGGGTGTTGAGAGAGATGCCACCCTCAGCCCGCACCAAGAGACTTCCTGCTCTGTCCTCAGGAGGCTTGGTCCTGTGTATGAACAGCCCCCACCAACCTGATGTCCAGCAATCCCAGCAGGATCCTGGGGACATACCTATTGTAACAAGATGCTTTGTCACCTACAGCAAGTGACATAATATCTTGGATGTCAGCTGCCCTAGTGCAGTCTCCAGTGCCAGGTACAGCATTATGATTCTTGGGAATGAGCCCAAGACTGGGAAGTGTGCTTGGTCTCTGCAGTGTCACCCAGTAGGGGTTCAGTGAAGTCTGAGGCCCACCTGAGCAGATGACACCTGCATCCTCCCCGTGGTTACAGTTGTGTGAGTTCCAGCCTCGGTGTGGGCAGCTCCACAGGTAGGACTCATTCCCTGAGCAACGCACATCGTCCAAGACAATGGGGTCTGAGCCCTGTCCAAACCGGGCACTTCCTGGAGCCGATGTGGCTGAGCCACAGCCCAGCTGCCTGCACACCACATTGGCATCCTTGATGTCCCAATCGTCGTCACACACGGTGCCCCAGGAGCCTTTGTAGAGAACCTCCAACCGGCCCTGACAGCGGTCACCTCCATTCACCAGCCTCACATCCAAATTCCCTTGGGTCCTGAAACCTAGATATGGCAGAAAACACCTCCTCCATGACTATGTTGAGCTGCCAGGCCTAAGGCATGTTCCAAACTCTTGGGTCACCCTCATGGCCTAACCATATGGGATATGGGGAAACAGTCAGCTCTGGACATGTACAGAAGTTCATCTTTATTGTAGGAAAGGAGCAGAGACATTTTGTCCTGCCAGGTCAACGCTTTTCCAATATAGGGGAGCACCCATGATGGCCCCTAGGGAGGTGAGTGGAACTGCCACCCCGAACCCACATGCAGAGACTTTATTCCATCCTTAGGTACAGTTATAGCATTCATCGTATGTGTTCCTCTTGAAGCCTCATGCTTGAGGCCATTTAGAGTGCTTCACATAAACAAACTTCCCTAAGTGTATCTCTAACTGTGCTGGACTCTGGACACATGTTTTATTACAGTTCTTCATGGTGTAATTACAGTGAGCACCCTCCAACCCAAGCTACTAGAAATTCAGGGGGAAGGAAATGTTTCTTGGGTTGCTATCCAGAGAGGGTCTGGAGACTACCCATGTGTTTCATCTCTCGGTAGACTATGGGCAGGGCTTCAATTTCCTGGCATTTCCCATGTGTCTCATGACTGCCCCATGCTGGAGAGAAGTCTGATCAGACCTGCCTGTCCTGGGAGCAGCCCAGACATTTATCTGGGGATCTGTTGTTGGAGAGCATTTTGCACATGCTCCTTCTAATCCACATTCAGGTCTGTGGCGCTAAGGTGGCTGGGGCCAGCACAGAGTCGAGGAGAGGACAGAGCTGGGCCTGTGGTCTTGAAATTGATCTTTGTGGTCTCTGATCCAAAGCACACAGGGTCCTGGAAATGCTTGACTCCTCCCCACCCACTGGGACATGTACAACAAAGGAGGTTACCACCCAAGCCAGGTCCTCTGTCTCATGAGAGATCTCCCTTTGCACTGCATGATTACAACATTTCCTCTTGTCCTACCCTAACATTTTCCTGAGTAAGGGTCAAACCCATGACTATACTTGGTATCATGACCTGCAAAGAAAGACCCATAGAAAATTGTTCATTACCTATTGCAGAAGTAGTCTTGATATTTGTTGTAGTATTTTCTGCGACAGATTGTAGAAGAGAGAAGAAACTGAAAATATAGTTAGGCCTCCTCTAAGAAGAATTAAGGATTGAATGTAAACTTGAATTTGGTACAGAAATGTCCTTTCTGAACTGGATTTTGTCTTCCTGTGTGACTTTGGGAAATTCAACAAACCCATCTACCCTCAAGTTCTTTCCCTTTAAAAGGCTATTTGGGCCCTGGCTGGTGTGGCTCAGTAGATGGGGTGCCAGCTTACAACCTGAAAGGTCACTGGTTTGCTTCCCAGTCTAGAACAAATGCTTGGGTTGCAGGCCAGGTCCCCATTTGGGGATGTGCAAGAGCCAACCAATTAGTGTTTCTCTCACACTTTGATGTTTCTCCCTCTCTTCCCCTCTAAAAAGAAATAAATATCTTTTTTAAAAGCTTATTTGAAGGCAGAGGGGTATCTCTGTATCAACCTACTGACCCTGATTTTGACCTTCCCACATATGACCTATGCAAGACTCCAGGAAATTGATGTAAAAATAATATAATGTTCACATCTTTATTCTTCTAATCATTTCTCTTATCTAATTGTATTGGCTAGCTTCTTTAATATAATGTTCAATAGTTGAGGGGGTGCTGAAGGGCATACTTGCTTTGCTTTTTCCTTTAGTAGAAATGTTTCTAATGTTTCCCCATTAAGTAGGATTGTAGCTTTAAGATTGTGGTTTTCAAATTGCTTCAATGAGCCCTTGTGCTTGTCCAAGGCCCCAGCAAGAACCTACTTTGTGCTGGGACTTAGAGAGAAGATGACCTGAGAGCTGCTCTTAACCCACTGCTACCAGAGCTATCAGTTTTGTCTGGATTGTCATCTATTGGGCAGTTACATGGGGTCTTTTTATTTTTATTTATTTATTTAAAAACCTTTCTCTAAATTTTATTTATTTATTTTCAGAGAGAGGGTAAGGGAGGGAGAAAGAGAGAGAGAAACATCAATGTGTGGTTGCCTCTCATGTGTCCCCTACTGGGGAACTGGCCTGCAACCCAGGCATGTGCCCCGATTGGGAATCCAACCACGACTCTTTGGTTTACAGGCCCGCGCTCAATCCACTGAGCTACACCAGCCAGGGCACATGGGGTCTTTTTAAATATAGAAGTATGACTCCCCCACCCCAAGCTTCACCCTCTCTGGAGGCTCTGACAGCTCTAGGTAAGTCCTGTCTGCTGTTCTGTGACCCAGGCAGATAGCCAAACCCCTCCAGCCCCTCATACGCCCTCCTGGCCCTGTGAGTTGTACCAAAGGGCTTGTCAGTCTTGGCTGGTATTCCTAAAACACTGCAGGATTCACAGGAGAAATCATCATAGAATGAAGGGTCTCTTCTGTTACAGCTACTGCAACTAAAAATTTTTGGCAGAGACATGGCTAACTTAGAACACAGCCAGTGTCATCCTCAGCTCTAGTGACATCTGTATCCTTAATCAGAGGGAACAGGAAGAGAAGGAAAAGTCAGGCCTTGCTTTACAGGCCTTAGGGACAGAAATGCCTAACACATGTGCCATTAGGATGCCCAGCTCATCCATGCTGGGTCCTGAAAGGAGCCTTGGTCAAAGTTTCCGCTAGAAAAGGGGCAAAGGCCAGGCTGCCAGGACCCCAACTCCATAAAGTGCAGCTCTCAGCTCTCCCACTAGAGGCCCTGCAGAGGGGTGCATGGGACCTCTGCCACCCACAGGGTGAAGGACCATGGTCCTTCTATACTGAGATGGAACCCAGTGTCCTGATGTGGGCTCAGGAGAGGGCGCAGGCAAGGACACTGCTCAGCATGCTGCCTCTCTGGGACTTGCAGCCAGAACCCAGCACCTCAGCCTGGCCAAGAGGCAGCAAGCTTGGTGAGGACCACAGGAGTGGGCACTGAGCATGGACAACAGGTCCCCTGAAGACAGGACACCTAGCTCCACCTTGGACCTCCTTGGAGACAGCTGGCAGGTTGATTCCTCCTTCAACACATACATACAGTCCATGCAAAGGATACCCATTCAGGCCTGAGGCCCTGTTCAGAGCATCCCCCTCAGGAGCTGAGAACCCCCATCTCTCACACTTAAGGTTCCTCTCCTGGGTCAGGGTGCAGTGGGGTAAAGAGCCCACAGAGATCCCATGTGACAAACGTTACCTTCTGTGGCCATCGTCGGGGGCTCCTCTGTGGAACTCGAAGAAGCTGCAGAGCAGAGAGAAGAAGAGGTCATTAGATGCCCTCATTCGAAGGGGGGCTGGCCTCCCCAACCTCGGCCCTGAAACAAGGTCCTGGAGGCAGACACCTGGAAGCCTGCCCACTGCTAAACGGCTGATTCCTCCTTGTGAGCAGAACTCAACTCTCTCGCCCTTTGCCAACCTCCGTTCCATGCTGGGATGTCACCAAGGGCATCCCTTACCCCTGTCACCATCCCTCCCCTCCTGAGCTTCCACAGTCTCCAACCACAAAATCTCCCAGTTGATTAGCATCCCTCTAGCCACAAGGTTGGACACCAAACACCAACTGCCTGTTTCAGCAGCTCCCAGACAGCCTCCAATGACAAATATCCTTCATCGATGAGAGATTCCTCAGAAGGTGGCCCCAACTGGAAGAAAGGCCATTTCTTAAAATGCACCCCCACATGTTGAAAAAACCCACCCCACAGTGACCACTCCAAGGGCCACACTCTCCTGGGGAAGCCATTCTCATGGAGGTGGTCAGGTCATCAAGGTCACATCCCGTGTGTGGTGGTGTGTGCACACACCAGGCCACATAGCAAATGCCAGAGGTTGCTCTAAAGATGACAATTGACTAGAAACTCGCCTCTGGGGGGTCACACGGTGGTCAGTCTCCGCAGAGGGCTCTTTGGGGTTAACAGGGACCAGCACCCTGTGAGCAGGTGACTGGCAGCACTGGCATTTGCTAGGTCAGACCAGGGACAGTTTTCCTTTTCCACTGCAGGTGTAAATATCTTTTGCTTGTCATTTAATCCCCAGTGAAGAGAACCCATTGCTGACTCCTCAGTTTGATTCCTCCTCCTCCACCTTGAGAAGGAGGAGAAAAAGCCACTTGAGAAGGTGTTTGCACACCTGCGCCAGGACAGTCATGACACTGCCTGTCAGAATGAGCCCATGGGGTGATTGCACCAGCCAACTCTGGGGGTGCCTGAGATGGAAGCCCATCCCCACCCGCTCCCAGCTTTGGGACTTCAGCCAAGTCGGTTGCCCTCTCTGAGCCTCCATTTCTTTAGCTGTGAAAAGGGACCATGATACCTGCCCTCGAACGTCAAGGAGACATGACTTAGAGTGGAGCAGGTAAACAGCAAAACATCCCAGTATGCACCACAATGTTGGGGACCACAGGGGCCGCTGTCCCCAGACTAGCACAGGTGGCGGTGAGAGGAGAAGTCTGCACTACCTGAGCACATGACTCCCAAGTCTTCCCTATGTCCCCAATGTGCATGTGTATACATGTCTGTGCACATGCTGCACAAAACTTCATGGGTGGCTCCATCTAAGAGCACTGCTGCCTTAAGCCCCTTCATGGAGAAGGATGGGGTAACCCTCTCCCTGTCCTTTAGGGGCTGAAATGCACTCCATGTCCCTTTCCAGACTCAGTGCAAATCCAGGGTTAACTTTGCACCAATAAATCTAGAGCTAAGAACACTGCCTCCCGTTTTCAAATGTTTCCATGGAAACACCACCCCCAGCCCCAGACTGCCCAGACCCAGCACCCACTGAGGTCCTCCTGACAAGAAGGAAGATGGCATCCTCCAGATGGCTGGCTGGTGTCACCATGGGCTGCACACATGTCACACCATGCAGCCTGCTCCCCATCACCAGGGAACTGAGGGCTGGGTTTGGGGTCCTGCTTTCATGAAAGCAATTCCCCAAACAAACCTTAGTCTTCAGAGCATCACCTTCAGAAGACTAGGGCGGGAGGGAGAGGTCCAGAAATTATCTGGAAATTAGGATTTTTTTGTCCTGTTTCCTGAAATTCATGAATGTAGCAAAAAGGTACATCGAAAAGTAGGGATAGTGGAATAGAAGAAGAAAAAAATGAATGAAGGAAGGGAGAGAGAGAAAGAAGGAGGAAAGAAAAGAAAAAAAAGAAAGAAGAAAAAGAAGAAACAGAGGGACAGAGACAGAGAAGAATGGAAGTGGGGGAGAGAGAATAGATACCAAGTAGCTGAGATAGAGTAATTGAGAGCCAAGTAGATGAGAGAGAGAGAGAGAGAGAGTAACTGAGAGACCAAGAGGCAGGGAGATAGATAACAGGCCAGCTGGCTGATTGCCCTATTCACTTAGTATCTTTATAAAATGGTTGAGATGCCTCAACGGTTCCTTTGATTTGCCCATGACTCTTTCACGTGTGTTTTACATCTTGACACTCTAAGAACACAAAGACATGCTAAGCTACCAAGTTCAAGTCACTTATCCAAAGCAGTGAGCAACAGACACACACTCAGAACCTTAGTGATCTTGTCTGTGCCCTCGATGCACTTTTGCTCAGAAAATTGTCAAGCCAGACACAGTTGCAGAAAGAAGTCACATAGTGAGCATTGACAGGGGCCATCTTTCCCGCCCATTTCCACAGGAACTAAACTTATGGTAAAGATTTAGGGCCTCCTAATAATACACACTCACTCCAGGAATTTTTCTAAGAACAGTCGGTGGATTGTTGAACTGAGTGACTCACTGAAAACACCAACTTAGTGATTGCCCTTTTCCCACCACAGCCATTGCACTTCACAGCCAGAAACAACTGGAAAAGAGCCATATTTTTAATTACAATTATCAGCAAAGAACTGCCTCCTCCTTGATCTAAAAATCCCCTCGAAAACAAAAGTCTGGCACCCAGGACAAGCATGTATAATTTGCCATGACTTGGAGTGGCAGGAGTGAAATGAACAAATATAGCAATTAGATATAATACCTGAAGACAGAACTTGACCCAATAGACACATCTCAAGGATGACTCTGGAGATCCCCATTTTGCTGGGTTCTTCTCACTTTGAATAAAATTGCCTTGATATTTATAGGCTCGCAGCTGAAAGGAGGCGTGTCTCCTATCCCATCGCTGCCATAAATCAATAGAGAGGAAGTGAGAGACTTTGCTAACAGTCAATAGCTAATCTGTGGGAACAGTTTAGGTGTGTTAGATTGATTGCTGTATGAATAATCTGGCTACCCTCCAACTGCAAAAGCACTGACATTCATGAGACGATTTCCAACTTCCTCGTAGGTGAGCCTCCAAGATTATCAAATGCTCCCTGCATATAGGATTCATTTTACTCCTGGAGAATCTGAATTCACAGGTGGGAGGTTGGCCCTGAGATTGGGTCAGAACAGGATGTGGGCTGCTGGGCAAATACAGGACCTGGTGCCAAGGGGAAAAACATCTCTTTGGGCTGAGTTGTCCTGGCAGGGCACCTTCTCCTTGGCCGGGGGCCTTGGAAAAAGAAGGGTGGCCTTCGTGCAGACATGGATGCTCAGTAGAAGGCATTGGGGTGAGTCCATGGAGTCTGTGGGCCCATGCTACCCTGAGCCACAACTTCTGGATGCCACCCGAATTCCATAGCTCAGAAGTTGAGACACATGGGGCCTCAGACTGAGCCACAACTACTCACTTCACAGGGTTTCCTATCTTGCTCTTGGCATTCACACTGCAGGAGGCTTGGAGCTTGGCAGACCCACAACGCCAGCCCTGATCTCCTCCTGCCTTGCACACAATCCCTCTCCTTGGTTTTGTTTTGTACTTACCACTTTCCCCTTTGAGACCCCAGTCTTGACCATTGGACTCTGGTAAAGCCCCCACCATCTACCAAGAAGGTCGCCTGTCATTTATTTTTACTAAAATGCTCTTGGTGGTTGATGACTCTCAGTTACGAGCATCTGGCTTTGCAGACTTGCTTCTGTTGTGCTAGCCTGGATGAGCAATGTTGTGAGGTCCTGAGGCTATCAGGTGCCACCTGGGCTCCCTTGCCATGAGCTGTGAATTCAGGCTCCTAGTGCCTCATTCTGGCTTCAAGGATACCATGAGCCCAGGTTTCAATCAGCCCCCAGTAAGGACTTAGGGCAGAATATCTGCCTTTGGCTTATCCAGATGAAATGCATTCATCCTGGGATTCATTTTCTAATCCTACAGCTCTTCCTCTTGTTCCCAATTCCCCCCCCCCCCCCCCCTTGATGAGAATGAGCACTTTTCCAGGACAGGCTCATTGCTTTTCATCCTACTTCTCTCAGTCCAACAGTTGGTAAGTGTCAGGTGACAAGATACACATGTGCCAGGGAGTGCCCCAGACTAGATGGCATGATGGATTCCTCTTGCAGGGGGTGATGATTGGTTCCTGGAGTGCTGGGCTGAAACCAGTTATGAAGGTAGGTCTGGCATCATCAAAAACAGAGAACTGTGATAGATTAGTCATGTCTGCCTTGAGAACATCACAGAAAATGCTATAGAAATATTAAATATCTGCGTGATAGAAAAGAGTAAAATGCGTCCTACGCCACAGAAAGCACTGCCTGGGCTGAGAGACAGACCTGCATGGTGACAACTATAACGGTGGTAAAAAGTATTAACACAACTTAATATGGGTACATACAGAAAAAGCATCCAAATCTGATGGCAGGGGCAGTAGCTCAGAGAAGGCAACTCCTGACACCAAGTCCGGAAACATAAACAGGAGTCATTTGCACCCAAGTGTGGGAAGACAAGATAAGAAATAAAAATGACTCTACAGGGTAGTGAGAACAGAGGCACAGTGGGACCCTGCCAGGGGACCATGGAGGCAGCCTCTTCGATAGCTCAGCTCAGAGCAGGAACATCCTGCTGGAGAGCTGTGAGACATTTGCCCACTGGGACAACTTCCCCATTTTTGTCTTATGGGTCAGCCTGACCTTTCTCCCTATAGTTAGCAGTACAGAATCTCAGACAACAAGGGCTTCTGAGCTTTTGTTCAGAAGACACCAAAGAGAAGGAAGTGGAGGGAACCTACCTGTCATTTCAAAGCTGCCTGGGGATGTGTCCCAAGTGGGAAAACAGGTGATGTCACTGAAGCTGGGAGGTCTTAGACCTACAGGAAAAATATGATCAGACCACTAGCCACCTGAGCCCAACCTGTACCAAAATGGTTTATAAGACCCTATTCAGAGAGGTCTTCGTCTGGTGTGGAGCTGGAGGTTCTGGGGGGACCCACCCCTCCAGCAGCATCAGCTCCCTCCCAGAAGGCGCACCTCTTCCCTGCCCCTGACTAGAAGCACCAGTGTCAACAGCATGTCTGGGTGGAAGACCAGAGCTACTGGGCTCCACTTACAAAAGAAACTGCCATTAGCAGCAACAGGAAGCAACCAGCAGAAAAGCTGGAAGCCTCCTGACTCACCAAAAGCTGAAAAGTGGAGTTCTCACATGGGATCTGGACTTTGAAGTTGTGTCCATTATGAAGAAATAAATTTGAGTTCTGGCCAAGATGGCTGTAGATAGACACACTTTGCCTCCTTGCACAACTGAAAGAAAGACAAGAACAAATTTAAAAACAAAAACCAACCAGCACTATCAGAAAATCAAATTGCATGGAAGTCTGACAACCAAGGAGTTAAAGAGGAAACATTCATCCAGACCACTAGCTGTGGTGGGGATGGGCAGACGGGGTAGAGAGGACATGTTGCAAGTTGGTGGCTGGAGGAACACAGGCAAGGCTGAGGCTAGAGGACCAGAGAAATCCCACATTTGCATGCAAATAAACTGGAAGGAATAATGGGGGGCATGGGGGGAGAAGACTGCACAACCCAGGATAGCAGCATGGGGAAATAAAGCCTCAAAACCTTTGACTATAAACACCAGAGGTGGTGGTGGTGGAAGAAACTCACAGCCACACAAGAGAGTTCATTGGAGAGAGCCACATGATCCTACAACGTACAAAAACCTACCCACCTGGGAATCAGCACTAGAAGGGCCTCAATTGCTTGTGGGTAGCAGGGGAAGTAACTGAAAGCTGCCAAGAGCCAAGCAAGTGTCATTGTTCCCTCTTGGACCCATTCTCCATGTACAGTGCCACAATCCAGAGATGTGTGTTGCTCCGCCCAGGTGAATACCTAAACAGATTAAGTAACAGTAACAAGCAGATTAAGACAGAAAAAAAATATGGCCCAAGTGAAAGAAAAGATCAAAGCTCCAGAAAAACAACTAAGCGACAAAGAGATAGCCAACCTATCAGATGCAGAGTTCAAAACACTGGTAATCAGGATGCTTATAGAAATGGTTGAGTATGGTCACAAAATAGAGGAAAAAGTGAAGGCTGCGCAAAGTGAAATAAAGGCAAATGTACAGAGAACCAACAGTCAAGAGGAAGAAACTGGCACTCAAATGAACAATTTGGAGCAGAAGGAAGAAATAAACATTCAACCAGAACAGAATGAAGAAAACAAGAATTCCAGAAAATGAGCAGAGGCTCAGGAATCTCCAGGACATTTTTAAATGTTCCAATATCTGAATGATAGTGGTGCCAGAAGGAGAAGAGGAAGAGCAAGAAATTGGAAACTTATTTGAAAATATAATGAAGGGGAACTTCCCAAGTCTGGCAAAGGAAATAGACTTTAAGGAAGTCCAGGGAGCTCAGAGAACCCCAAAGAAGTTGGACTCAAGGAAGCACACACCAAGGCACATCATAATTACATTATCCAAGATTAAATATAAGGAGCGAATCTTAAAAGCGGCAAGAGAAAAGGAGATAGTTACCTGCAAAGGAGTTCCCATGAGGCTGTCAGCTGATGTCTCCAAAGAAGCCTTACAGGCAAGAAGGTGCTGGAAAAAAGTATTCAAAGTCATGAAAGGCAAGGACCTATATCCAAGATTGCTCTATCCAACAAAGCTATCATTTAGGATGGAAGGGCAATTAAGTGCTCCCAAGGTAAGGTCAAATTAAAGGAGTTTATCATCAACAAGCCCTTATTACATGAAATGTTAAAGGGACTTATCTAAGAAAAAGAAAATGAGCACAACTATGGACAGTAAAATTACAACAAACTCACACCTATCAACAACTGACCCTAAAAAACAAAAACAAACTAAACAAGCAACTAGAACAGGAACAGAATCACAGCAATGGAGATCACTGGAGGGTTATCAGCTGGCAGGAGGAAAGGGGAAAATGCATGCATGTACAAGAATAAGAAGCATAACCAGTAAGCACAAAATAGTCAGGATAGGATAGAAAACAGAGAAGCAAAAGAACTGGTATGTATGACCCATGGACATAAACTAAAGCAGGTGAATTCTGGTAGGGGTGGTACAGGGAAGATAGGAACAAGGGGATTAAAAAAATGGGACAACTGCAACCGCATAAGTAATAAACTGTACTTTAAAAAATAAAATAAAGTAAAATTTGAAAAAACAACATCATGAGGACCCCCACCCGCTCCATGATTTAAGACCAAATCTGAGTCTCATCCCTGTCCCCTGCTTCTCGGCAATCACGGTGTTGCCAGCGGGAGCAGGTGCTCTCAGCAGTTGAAGGTGGGTGTGCGGAGCAAGCTCCAGCCCTGTGTCCCAGGGTCACTAACAAGTGGCCTTGGGCTGGGGACCCTCAGGTCCAGAGAGGGGAAGGGACATGAAGAGCCGGTCTGTTTCCGGGCAGCCCTCCCAGCAGACACTGCCTCCCATCAGAAGGGGGAGAGCAGGAGGCCTGAGAGAGCTGCCCCTTATCAGGACAAGCCTATAGCAGATGCCAATGGCACACCCTCGGCCCTCTCATGACCCTGGAGAGCCAGAAGCCTAATCACCTCTCGTGGTTCTCAGACTAGTGCCGAGGGCCTCACCGAGGCTTACCAGGCCCCACACCACCGCCCCCCATGGCCTCTCTCCCCCTGAGCTCACTCTGGCAACAGTCCAGCCTCTGGGCCTTTTTCGCTGGGATTCACTAGGATTTTTTCTGCCCAGAAGAATTTCCCCCCAGAAATCTGCAGGCTCACTCCTTCCCTGCCTTTAGATTTTTCTGACACATCCTCTCCTCTGTGCAGCCTTTCCTG